TGAGGCCTAGGTGTTATTTCTAGGGAGGTGAGCCGTATTTGCTATAAACTGCTTCAGCCCGTTCACCTGTCTGTCTGTTTCCCTATTCCACTTGTCCTGCTTACTGGATTGTCTCACCGTTTCCATTTATTTGACACCCTGTACCCATTTTCCCCTCACCCACCCCACTTTCCTCTCTGGTAACCACCAATTTGTTGGCTGTATCTATGAGTTTTGTTTTGTTGGTTTGTTCGATCATCTTTTGTTTTATATTTTTATCTTTTATATTTCACGAGTGAAATCATACGGTTTTTGTCTTTCTGTCTGACTTCATTTAGCATAATACCCTCGGGATCCATCCATGTTGTTGCAAATGGCAGTATTTTATCTTTCTTATGGCTAAGCCGTATTCTGCTGTATTTATACGCCACAGCTTCTTTATCCACTCGTCCACTGATGGACCCTTAGGTTATCTCCATGTCTTCGTTATTGTAAGTAATGCTGCAATGAACATAAGGGTGCATGTATCTTTTCTAATCAGTGTTTTCATATTCTTTGGATAAATGCCCAGAAGATGAATTATTGAATCATATGGTAGTTTTATTCTTAATTTTTTGAGGAACCTCTATGCTGTTTTACATAGTGGCTGCACTAATTTATATTCCTATCAAAAGTAGCCCTGGCCGGTTTGGCTCAGTGGTTAGTGTCAGCCTGTGGACTGAAGGGTCCCAGGTTCGATTCTGGCCAAGGGCACGTACCTCGGTTGCCGGCTCTGGCCCTGGGCCGAATGCGGGAGGCAACCCCAATCGATGTGTCTCTCTCACATCCATGTTTCTCTCTCTCTGTCTCTCTCTGTCTCTCCCCCCTCCCTTTCACTCTCTCTGAAAAGCAATGGAAAAAATATCCTCAGGTGAAGATTTTAAAAAAGTATATGAGGGTTCCCCTTCCTCCACATCCCCTCCAATAGTTACTTGGTTTTTTTATAACAGCCTTTTTAACAGGTGTGAAATGATGCCTCATTGTAGTTTTGATTTGCATTTCCCTAATGATTAGTGATGCTGAACATCTTTTCATGTGCCTGTTGCCCATCTGTACATCTTTCTTGGAAAAATGTAAATTAGATCCTCTGCTCACTATTTAATCAGGTTCTTTTTGTTGTTGTTGAGTTGTATGAGTTCTTTATATATTTTGGATATTAATCTCGTGTTGGAAATACCATTTGCAGATATCTTCTGCCCTTCAAGTGATTGCCTTTTTGTTTTGTTGATGGTTTCCTTTGCTGTGCAGAAGTCTTTTAATTTGATGTAGACCTTTTTGTTTATTGTTTTTGTTCCTCTCGCCTTGGGAGTCAAATTCACAAAAATACCCCTAAGACCAATGTCCAGAAGCTCACTGCCTATGTTTTATTCTATGTATTTTATTGTTTCAGGTCTTACACTCCAGTCTTCGATGTATTTTGAGTTAATTTTTGTGTATGGTGTAAGATAGTGGCCTAGTTTCATTCCTTTGCATATGACTGTCCAGTTTTTCCAAACCATTTATTGAAAATACTTTTCTTTCTCTTTTGTATATTTTTGGTTCCTTTGCTGTAAATTCCTTGTCCATGTATGTGTGGGTTTATATCTGGGCTTTCAGTTCTGTTCCATTGGTCTGTGTATCTGTTTTTCTGCCAATACCATATCACTATAGCTTTGTAGTATAGTTTGAAATTGGGGAATGTGATACCTCCAGTTGTGTTCTTTTTTCTTAGGATTACTTTGGCTACTTGGGATCTTTTGTGGTTCCATACAAATTTTAGGATTTTTTGTTCTATTTCTGTAACTCAGAAATTCAGTAGGTTTAGCTGGTGTTTCTGCTTCCAGTCACGCAAGGTTGAAAACAAAGTGCTTGTAGGGCAGGGGGCTGGAGGAGAATCTGTTCCAGGCCCGTTCAAGTTGTTGGCAGAATTTAATTTCATGCTGCTTTGGGACTGAGGTCCCAGTTCCTTTTGGCTCTTGACTAGGGGTTATTTGCAGCTTCTAGAGGCCATTATCATTCTCTGGACCACAGCTCCCTTCATCTTCAAAGCCAGCAATAGGGGGCTCCTGGTTCAAATGCCTCCTGCCTCTCCCACTACATCTCTGCCTGGTGCTGACTCTTCTGATTCTAAGGGCCTATCCAATTAAATAGGGCTCGCCTGGATAGTCTCCCTATTTTAAAGTCAACTGGATAGCAACCTTAAGTTTATCTATAAAGTCACGAAACATATTTACAGGTATAGTGCCAGGGTGAGAAAATCATGGAGGCCAAAATTCTGCTCACCACAGCCATAGAACAGGAAGGGAAAGGCCTAGGAGATCTTGGGTAACAGTAGAATTTTATACTAATGGCTGCTGAGAACAAAACAAGCAACGCAAACGTGATCCTATGTACTACTGATAATGGTAACCGTCCATATTTAAATACCTAAAAGCAACATACTGAAAAACAGAAAAGCATTGTACTTTACTCCTCATTAAAGACACATCAGAGTCAATATATATAAGTAAAGATTTCAATTTGCTTTTTCTAAATTCCATAGGTAGTGAATGCTTATTGTGGGAAATGTGCAAATACAGGAAGTTTGAGGAAGGTAAAAAAAAAATTAAAAAATCCTAACCCTGTTACCAGACCTGACCACTTTTTAGGAATTTGTCATTATATATTCATTTATTTTCTCTTCCTATTTTCCCCCTACAATCTATGTTTTAAAAGTTCTGAAGGTGTGCAGGAGAGCACCTGGTCAACAGCATGCTGTCATCTTGGAAGACCGGATGTTGCACAGCAGTCCCCGGAGGAAGGGAAGGTTTGGCTGGTGCGTGTTAACAGGCAGCTGGTGACTTGGACCATGGGTAAATGAACGTGTGTGGGCCAGTGTTAGCCTCTGTTAGGGTCAGACACCTTGGTATGTTTTTATCTGACAGGATGTTATTTTTACACAAAAGTAAAAGTAAAATAGAGACTCAGTCTTTCCATTGAAACTTTATGCTACATTAGGTTTTTCTAGGAGACAGATGACATCACAGAAGTCTTAGTTATAATGTTTACATTACAGAATCTTGCAGATCAAGAGCGTGAGAAATTTAGTTTCAATGGTGTGATTTAAAGAATAGAAGAAATGTGGCTGACAATGAAATTGAAACAATCACATCGAGTATGGATAGAAGCAATTATTTTTTCTAAAAATATAGCTCATATCAACACACAGTAATTAGGTACTAGTTTATGTTAAATCAAATGGTTTATACTTTAAAAATAGAAAAATGTTCAATTTTTAAATCCTATTAAATATATCTATGTAAAATTACTACATCCCAGCCATTTTTTTCTAGTCTTAAGATTTGAATTTCAAAACATTTTTGTTTTCAGTGTCTTCCAACTTCAGAAAAGGCCAAGTACTAAAATAACAACACTTATACAGTATTGTGTATTAAGGATCTTAGGACACTTTTATTTATATTATTACATTGCAGCCTGACAACAACCCTGTGAAGTAGACAGGGTGTTAATACCCATTTTGCTGATGAGAAGTTTGAGGCTTGGAGCTGAGTCATGGAATCAGAGCAAGAGGTCATGCGATTAGATGGAACCTGTATGGGACGAACCCATCTCAGCTGAAATTTAGTCCCATTGCTGCTACAGGGTATAAACACTTCATGTTTTGGTCAGGTGGCAAAAGTAATGCATGGTTTATGATTCCCTTTATTGTGGGATTATTGCATGAAAGGCCTCTGCTCTACACAGCCCCGTCCTCTCTTTCCCTTACCTCCCGGCCTCCGGGCCGCACATCTCCTGCTCATCTACAGCAATGCTCACTGTAGCAGGTCTGCCTGGGGTGTGGGAGAGGGCTGCAGGTGCCCCGCCTCTCGCTGAATAGGTACATTTAATCCAGGGGATCCAAGAAGAAATATAGTCCCAATTTTGGTACCATCCTTAATCTCAGCTCCCCAAAAAGAAATCTCGGAGTCATTCCCCAGTTCTTCCTCTCACCTCTAATCAGTCACCAAGACACTGTATTTCCTTACCTTTGTAATCTCTCTAATGGGCGCCTATCCTACACCTTTTTATTGCTGCTGCCTTACGGTCAAATGCTCTTTTGCCTAGAATACTGCAAAAACAACTAGTCTCTCCTTTCTCTAACATATCACCCATACTGCCGGTTGTTTTTTCTTTCCTCTCTGAACACCTGGCGTCGCCTTCCTGCTAAGACCTTTGAGTAAGAACTGTCACGTTCTAGCCCCAGCTCACCCCCTTCAATTTCTTCCTAGTCACCATGGATTTTCTATCTCTGCCTTTTCCAGCGAATATACACGTGGTTAAAGGCCAAGCTTCAGTGTCACCTTATCTGTAAAACCTCTCCTACTCTTCAAGCCATTTCATCCATATCTATTTCCCTCTCTAAACTTTGTAATACTTTGACTCTTGTCTTCTAGAATAAGCTTGGCCTTTATTGGCAAGTGCTAAAAGAATCTAGAAGCTTCAGGAATAACCTCATACTATAAAAGATGAGGCCATGGAGTAAATTCACACTCTGGAAGGCCAGAATCACCCTGCTTCATGGGCAGGTACATCATTTCAAGTAAAAAATGTTATTAACAGCTCAGCTTATTTTTCTTTAGTTTCATATAAATAAAATATATATGAATTCCATTATTTGAGTAGGTGCTCAGGCAGACACAAAATAGTAAGTATTACTTATTTTGGATAACAGAATATTTTAAACCAATACAGCATATATATATATAGAGAGAGAGATATTACTTAAGTGATGTTGGGTGAATTTATAAATAAGTTACTTTTCAGTATACTATTCCCAAAAGAAACCAATTTTGAGAGTCTGATTCTGGTTTTGTGATAAAGCAGAACACTTACACCTTGACTTTTTAAAAGACTGAGCTGTAATTATCTCAAGATTGTACTTTGAGTATTTAAAAGACCTTGGTCACACTATTTTTCCCCCCCAGAATTAAATTACACCCAATTGAAATGTGTAGCATCTTTTGGGATTTATGAACACTTGTGTACTAATATTGGAAGCATGCTAACCGTCTGCACAGCTGACGAGGCAGTGCCAGAGGCATAATTCCCAGCTTTGGATGCGGCTCATTGAGTAAGTGCTGAAATGCTAACACGGGCTTCCTCAGCCTCTGAGCGAGCAGTGAAACAGAATGAAAAGATAACCTTCTGGAAGTAAAACCACCGGAATGTGGAGGATTTGTTTGTTCTCTTGTCTGAGTTCCTAAGGAAGTTTCCACAGATTCCACCATCTCATTTTGACATGTAAACTGATGGGAGCAGGACTAATATCTCAGAGCCAGTTCTCACGTGTGCATCCAATCCACACACTTGGTGTGGATCTTCCTAAGATGACCAACCTTGAGGCCTGAGAAAAAAATAAAAATACATTTTGGGATGTAGCCCAGCGGAGTAGTGAGCAGGAGATTTCTGGGGAATTTCTTATCCAGTTTAATGTTTGTATGCGCCTTTAAAATGTTTATAAATATGCTCTATAGAGAAGCCTGGTAACGTACTCCGGAGACAATAATAAAGTCTCCTCCAAAGTAATCCTTATAGAATAGGGCATCAGCTTTTTTCCTGAATTTAAATAAACTCAGTAGTATTTCCTTGAGACTAATAATTTACACAACGCTGTGATAAGTATTTAGAATTCATGATTTGAAATACAAAGTCAAACCACTTACTTGAAATTTAGATGTTCAATTAGCACATATCCATCTATAGAAACAAAAATCACTGCAAGTTATAGAGGTAATGCTTTGAGATTTTTTTTAAAACAGTGAAATTTGGGGGGCCGTAAGCCAATAACTTACATTTGCCTTTAGAATTGCGACATATCACTAGGTTTCCTTCAGTGACATCAATGACGTCCAGCTCTTCTCCGGGGGCTATTGGCAAATCAAAGATTCCGTTTCTCGAATTCCTGGAACACGCCACGGCCGTGTTGATGACAGTAATCTCTTTGTCATACTGGAACGAGAACTCACTGATCAGACCGCGCTTGTGCCGATTTTCTTTTCATTATAATAAAATTAACGGAAGACATACACGAGTAACCTCAAAATAAACTCAAGATGCTAGATGTTAATTCGTTAAATAATACTTAAGGGGAGAGAAAATAATGGCCAGACCGTCAGTGAAAGGGAAGTTATTTAAGGGGGTAATGGTAAGACACCACTGCCTTCTGTTTGCTCGGTGTGATCGTGTTTGCAAAGCGTTTGCACATCCATTACCTAATTGTACTAGAATGAGTTCTGGTGAATGAGAGGCTGGGGCCTGGGTGTGCATCAAGGACTGTGAATAGTATGTTAACTGTTCCAGTAACAAAGCTACCACCTAACCCAGGAAAGGAGAAGTTAAAAAAGGTGTGTGGTGGGGGGGCCCTCTTAGAGTTTACAATGTTCTTGCACACCTATCGTTTCTGGATGGCACCCTCTCTCCACCTTCCTCCCTGGGAGGCTTTTCTGTTCCTATATATAGCTATAGCACACCTTTTAAAGTGGCAGGAACGGGTGTAGGGCAATTCTCACTCTCCTTTTGTGGTCAAAGACAGGCATTTGTGAAAGAAAAAAAAGATAAGCAATTCAATATCTGACCTCAGAGTTTTGTTTTTCCCCAGTGTTTTAAACTAGCCGGCCTATACATGTACAGGTACATCACCTTCTAATGTATTAAGATCCCTTGACTGGAAAAAAAAAAGTTCTGGATTATAGCTTATATTTATAAGTGTCTACTCCACCAAATGTGGGTGGCCGAATATCTCCCTTTGCTCAGGACGGTCTTTATTTACAAATACTTATTATTTATGATTAGCTATGCCTCCTTCATTCTCAGAGGTCTCCTGAATTTGGATGATGAATTATAAGATCACCCCATACCAAGTGGGATCTGAGCCACAAGATCGACTTGTCTTACAAAGGGATAGCTTCCTAACTGAGCTCTTACCCTTCCTAGGCCATTGTTCGCTGGGTATACACAGTGAATTCCTAGAATGCAATCAGGTTAGGTCAGCTTCCTTTTTATGGTTCTAAAAAACTCTTCATTGCCTTCCAGGTAAGATCCATACTTCTCAGCTTGACAGTCAAGGCCCTATGCGTATTGTCATTCTCATGTCCCCATTTCTGTGCCTTTTATTGACGCCACATCAAGCTATATGATGATCCCAACATACCACTTACCGTTCGTGTGTCCCTGCCATTGCTCCGCTGTCCTCTCTGCCTAGAATACCCTTTTCTCCCTCTTAACCACCTTGCACATAGACTTTCATGACTGCTCTGTATCATTTACCATTTTAATTGCACTTTGTGTGTCCTGCTGTTGCAGCATTATAATAATCATTTTGTTCTACGGAATGAGAGTGGAAGACAGTGTTATCCGTCCTTGTACCTTTAATGCCTGGCACCAATGTACCCAGTCTTTTGTGATTTGAGCTGAATGGAAGTTACTGAAAGGGCATACTTTTTCTAGTGGGATATCAAGGAAACCCGCCGTTGGCAATAAGGAGGAATGGGGGATGGGATTTCTGTCCTGTACGAGAGAGTCAGACGCAGTGGGGAGAAAAGCACTGGATGGAACGTCCAGTCTTTTCACCAAGAAATGGTTACACTAGTTTTTCAACTAGTCAGATAACATCACAGTTTCAGTAGCTAATTTCATACCACGGTTTAATACTATAAAATTTTCTGCTGCAAACTCGTATGTCTTTATGACCTGACGTGCTGTATATGCCATGTTAAGAAGCCTAAACTTTATCCATTTGGAAATGGGGAACTTTTGAAAGATTTTAGGCAGAGAGACGTAACTTGGACACATTTTCTGAGCAGGGTGCACACTCAGTCCAGTGTCTGGCACGTGGGAGGTGTTCAACATGTCTCTTACATGAATAAATCCTCATTTTGACAGTATGTAAAGTCAGGAGAGAGGGTCGTTCGGTTTAGTTGGAATTATGGGAAAACGCTCCACAGAGTCAGGGACAGGGTGACGGGTCAGTCAGGGAGCTTCAGAGGCTCCATCCACTTGTTGACTGTGTGTATGTGTTTGGTGACTCATCTGTTCACTGAGCGGTAGGTGACCAGTTTTATGTTGGGAGCTGGGGAGCAAATTTGAGGGAGACAAGATCTCTCCTTCAAAAGGGACTCAGGGGTTTTAGCTCCCGGGGGCGTGTGGATCCGCGTTCTAACGGGCGGATGTGTAGCAGGCTTGTTCCGAGAGTGCTGGAGGGTGGCTGCCTGGAGGAGCTGGGGAGGAGTGCGTGACGGCTGAACCGAGCAGCTTAGGAGTCTCTCCAGGCAGAGGAAACAGCACATACCAGGCATGATGCTACGGAAATGCATCAGGGAAATATAAAAATACCAGCTTTGTAGTCAAAAATCATGTCTTAATCCCAGAGGGGAAGAGGGGCAATACACTTTCTTTAAAAACAGAAGTTTCTAGCTTTTAATATTGTTGATTTTCACCTTCAGAGAACGTACCTCAAATCTTTCTCTAAAAAGCTTTTCTCTTTCCATTCTCTTCTTTTCTATGTTTTGTTTCTTGGTTCTGAAGAAATTTCTAGGTGATAGACTGTTAAGAAAAATGCAGGTAGGGTTGAATGTACTATCATAAAACTCTTGTTTCCAAATCTACAAAGTCATCCTATCTTAGGATCAATGTAGGTAGAGTTCTGTGTGTGCATAATTTTATATACATTTTATTACACATGCATGCATTTCGACCAGAGCAGGCTGTCAAAACAACTGAACAGAGCAAGAGTTCTTTCCCCCGACAATTAACCATTTTTTTGACAGCAAGATAGCATGGAATAACATCTAACTGGTTAAACAATCTATGTTAAACAAGAAACTTCTCTGAATCAGAGTTACAAGTGTAATTAACTTAAGAAAGAAGAAACTTAATGGATTATTTAATGGAAACCAGTAAGAGTGAGCAAACGGCTTACATTTTGTGGTTTTCCGAGTTTTCAAACCTAATTGGGGAATCAAAAATCTCTGTGCATCAAAATCAAAGAACTGTCCAGTCTGGTCACGGAGATGATAGAATTAAGAAAATAAAGGAAGATGCCCCAAAGTGTGTGCAACAGTTTCCAGGCATCAAAGTGGATAATCCTACGGCCGAGGCCGACTGTGCTCTTACTTCCCTCCCCCTGCAGCTCCTCACGTGGGGGCTGGGGCTGCATTTTAGTGTTTTATGCACTGAGAGAGGGAAACGGTCAAACGCGTCCTGTCAGTGTCCTTCAGAAGCACCACCTGTATCTGTCTCATTCAGTCCAAGATCAGCCACTGCCGTGTTTCAGGCGATGGCCGCTTCTCACCTGAAATACCACCTTCCTCTTGTCTTTCCTTCTGCAAATCCACCTGCATACCTGCCTCCAGTCATCTTTCTAAAATTTAATTGACCATGTCACTCTCTTGCTTAAAACCTTTGAATCTCTCTCTACTGCCTAAAAGATGAAGTCACAGTCCATGGTACACCGGGCATTTTCGAATCTGGCCACAGTCCACCCCTCCGGCTGCCCTTCCCCGGCTGCGTGGAGTCTGCGTGGAGTCTGCGTGGAGGCTGCGTGGAGTCTGCGTGGAGTCTGCGTGGAGTCTGCGTGGAACATCTGACAAGGTGGGCTGTCGTGCCCATNGCTGCGTGGAGGCTGCGTGGAGTCTGCGTGGAGTCTGCGTGGAACATCTGACAAGGTGGGCTGTCGTGCCCATGACTTCATGCCTGTCAAGTCCTTCCCCAGCTTCTCTGGAAACATATCATCTTACACTAATCAAGGGGTAATGAAAGGACTGTACCAGTACCGAAGACGTTTCTTATTGGTACAATAGGTTATGGTAGAAAGTATTCAGAAAAGGATTCCAGGGCACATGGAAATGGTGCCTCCAGCCACAGGAGCCTCAGCACACTGCATCTTTACATTTACATTTTCAAACTTACTCAGTTGAGAATAAACGTAAACTATTATGTCAGTTTGTTGTGAGAATTAAAAAAGCACTAGAAAATTGTCTCGTACAATGACTTATGTGTAGTCATTAAAATACTAAGAAGCTTTTTCTAGGGGGCGGGGGGTAGGCAGTGACAAATTCTCTTTCCTCTCTGTGAATTCTGTCTTGCGATGCTACGCAAAGGTAGGAAGCCTAAGGAGGAAAGTGCTTCTAGTCTGTGAATACATCTTTCCAGCTTGAGAAAAATAAATTACATCAAGTCTAAACCCAAAGAAAATAAACTTAAGGGAAGGGTCACTGAACGCCATCCTCTGAGTTGAAATGTGTTTCTTTTGGGGTGTCCCTGTAGGACTTTTCTAGACAGGTTTCCCCAAGCAGACAGACCACACCGTGCTCCCAGCTTAATGACTCTTCACACAAGGATTTCCCAGAGTCAGTGGTTACACAGTGGACCTCAGATCTGCCCCATCCCCTAGTTACTGAGGCGAAGACTGGGGCACTGAGCACCAAGGAACCACCTGAGACTAAAAAAAACACAACCCCTCCCCACCCCCCCTCCAGCAGCCAACTGAGAACTTGAATCACATGAGTGAAGGTTAGATTTTGAGTTGATAAAACATTCCTTGGTAATTCTAACACTAATGTAGACATAGCCAGAATTGTATTGTAGGGAAATCAGTCTTGTTATATGATACCTAGTTTTGTTTACGTCCAAACTGGCGTATTCTTTAAGGTGTGTCATAGGGGGACGGTGCTTTCAGCCTGAAAGGACTGGGAGGCTTTCGTTGCTTGGCAAGGGCCGGCTTGCAGCCCTTCTTGCATCCCCAGCGGGGATGAAGGTGCCCAAGGCAAATGTGTGTGGCTCTTTCCGCTTTCATCCCGTGTCCCCTCGAATCCCCTCAGCGGTGCTGTACCCCAGGTGTGTAACTCTCATTCTGTAGCTGGGGAACCTGGAGGTCAGGGCGCCAACTGGCCTGTTCGCACAGTGCTCAGGGTGGGCGGCAGCAGGTAAGCTGTCCTGCGGGGCACCTGCGTACTCGCCTTTCTGATCCTCCAGCACCTCTCTTCTCCGTTTCCCTCTTTGCTTTAAAAAACCTGGGCTTCCAAGTTTTTACTTTATCTTCATCTCTGGGGAGAAAAATGTTTTTGAGCAAGTAAATTAAGATTGAACTAAAACAGTTATGGAACCATCAGTACCTTCTGGGCAATTAATTATGTTTTACAAAAATATTTAAAAGTCATCTAGAAGTATATTTTGATTCTATGGCAAGGCCAGAGAGTAAATATTTTAGGCTTTGCAAGGCATAACGTCTCCATGGTAACCACTTAACTTGGCCACTTGTGACCATATTTACAAAAACAGGTGGCCGGCTATATTTAGCCCACAGACGGTAGATTGCCGACCCCTGATCTGTAGCGACACACATTTGAAACCAGCAGCAAGAGATCAACCTGCTTGTGATCGGACTTTCTCTCCTTTCTGAGCCTGTTTCTTTGCCTCTAAAACAGGAGTAATAATATTAACCTCTACGACGAGACAAAACTAATCCAGCTAGTGCTTAGCATTAGTAGGAAAGGATTCGGGGAGGGAGAGGGTATTATAGAAAGAACTAATACTTTCTGAGCACCTATGTGACAATTCTTATGCTTTTACGTATGTTAACTGATTTTTCACGGTGAGCATCCTTTAAGGTAGTCATTCGTAAAGTTTTACACAGGAGGAAAGAGCTGATCGGAGGACTATCATGGTCACAGAAAGTGGCTTTGAACCCAGGTGCCTTTGACTCAAGTCTATGGCATACCTGCTGCTTCGATATGTTGTTTGTTTCTTTCTGGTATGATAAAGTTATCAATACGTCCATCTTTGATACGAGCTAAACAGGACCCTACTCCATCCACCGTCTGTATGCCTCTGGTGTCTGCACATCTCAACACTTAAATGACCCTTCACTGGGTGAGTTGGAACCACAGGATATTACTTCACAGTAATTTTTGAGATTTTCAGGGACATGTGTCACCCTTCCCTTCAGGTCATGGTCACAGTTGTCCAACAGCAAGTCAAGGACTCAGCATTTGACCAGCATGGAAGATGCAGCTTAGAGCAGCCTTTCAAGAAGCCTTCCAGGACTTGTCAAGGGATCTCCAATCCCTCTCTCTTCTCAACATCTGTTGCCTTTGAAGTCTATAACATGGAGCTCAGCAATTATTGCTTTTCTAACTGTCCAGTGGTCACTCATTTCATCTCTCCACTTTCGGTTCCCAGAAGATGGGATCCAACCATGTATTCCACGGTGCCCGGTGAGCTGGGCACTATGCTAGGCACACAGCGAGTGCGCAGTGAGAACGTGGGCATGGTTCCGAAGGAGCCGCAGCTGGGAGGGCCGGGAAGGGGCGAGGCAAATGCCTACTTAAAAGCTTATTTTCTTGACTGATTATAAAGCAATATATCCTGAATATTTAAACAACTGGAAGCAGAAGTAGAAGAGAGACAAATTAAGCATAATCTGACTTTTCAAGGACATCTGAGTTTCCTTCTAAACATTTTCCAAGATTGAATAAGTTAATGCCTATTAAAATATGAAACAGTGACTAACCACGGTAAGAGCGATATCAATGTTTTTGTTAATAGTATTAGGGATAGAGATGTCCACAACATAATGAAGAAACAATTCACTAGAATATATTTCAAGTTTTGTATGCAACTAATAAAATAGGGCATATAAAGCAACAAATGATAGAATTTTCGGAAGAAACCGACAAATCTGCCATCTTTGTGTGAGATTTCAAGCGATTTCTTTCAATTGTTGATGGATCCAATATCTAAAAAGTCATAAATCTATGGAAGATTTTTAATAAGAGAATTAATGGATACTTGATTTAAAGGACATAAATTGATCCTTGTATCAAAAAAATAAGAATAAAGAATGAGAGAAGTCATATATTTCTAAAGCGCACATGGAACATTTATAAAAACTGACTATATACTAGGCATAAATCATGTCTCAGAACACGTCAAAGTACTGATATCAGCTACTTTCTGAGACCACAAAGCACTTAAGTAGAAATGACACTGCAATGGAAACAGAGCATGGAAACAGATCTTCAGATATTGGACGATTGGTATGACAAAGGTGTAGACCAGTGGGAAAATAGGGACCACTCGATCACGCCAGGGCATTTATTTAGATGGAAGAAAATGTAATTAGAGCTCTACTTCCCTATAAATACAAAAATCCATTCCAGACAGATCTACTGTTTAAGTGTAAAGTCAAAACTAACAGTTTTAGAAAATATGGGGAACATCATATGATCTTGGGATAAAGAGTTCTTTAAAAGATAAAGCAACACTCATAAGGAATAAATTGATAAATTCAAATACTGTTCATCAGAAGCAATAAACTTGCCAGAACACTTGCTTCTTATTTACACAGTTGGCCCCAACCTGTCAAAATGTTACCTATCCCCATGAAAATGTTACCTTACCAAAAATAAGCTCACTGGTGTAAATGGAACAGAAGTTCAGTTGCACCGAGCCTGGAAAGCTGAGCAGAGGAGACTTTATTTTCAGCCATTTAGTTCAGAGGGAAAGGACAGACAAGCAGCTGGAGAGGGGCAGTCAAGTTTTGGGATGCTTTATTTTTTTTGATAGATTATAGCTATTTAGTCTTTGGGCGCAAAAGTTTTGTCAGATAGTGCTGCTATCTTCCATGTTGCCTTGTCTGCAGGAGATTGTTAAATAAGTGCTTGTTGCACTGAAATAAGTTTTGAGTCTTTAGATACAAAAATAAGAAACAGATTCTAAAGCTCCAGTGACTTTTGAATCACATTCCACTGTTAGATCACCTATGTTATTTATTGTTTCCCTTCTTAGTGGGGGGATGTAACAATTTGGCTTTTCAACCAGCATCCAGGATCCGAAGATGGCCCTCTGACCATACTTAACAAAACACCAGTAAATGGGCTAAATAATGGGTGAACAAAAGGTAAATTGACTTACTTTGACTCTTTTTCATTTATGGTCACATCATCGTGGATGATAATTTCCTGAGACCTAAGTTCTAGAGACAAGATAGGATCGCAATAGCCCATTAATAAGTATGGATTATACAATCCCTGGCTTCTCAAATTGCACACAATTACCTAATTACCCAGGTACACACCCAAGCCTGTTTTATCAAAATCTGATCATAGGATACAGATAGGCTGAAAGGATCAAAGAATGAATAGGTTCTCATTTCGGAAGAAATTCAATTGAGGCATTAAAAAAACAGATGTCCTAATGTGTATTAATTTGATTTCCAGAAATATGAGTGCTGAAATGATCAGGCTAGGTTTCTGTCATCTCAGACCTGGACAAAGATGTTATTCTGTGCCCTGGCCAATGTGGCTCAGTTGGTTGGAGTGTCGTCCCGTGCACTGGAAAGTTGTGGGTTCACTCTAGGTCAAGGTGAATATGGGAGGCAATCAATCCATGTATCTCTCTCACATCAATGTTTCTCTCTCTCTCTCTCTCTCTCTCTTTCCCCCTTCCTCCCTCTCTGGAATCAACAAAATAAAATAAAAAACATTATGCTGCTAGAATAGTNTCTCTCTCTTTCTTTCCCCCTTCCTCCCTCTCTGGAATCAACAAAATAAAATAAAAAACATTATGCTGCTAAATAGTGAGAGCTTTTTCTTAACTTGGAAAGAGAACCAGTTTAATAGAATATTAATGTTGATTTTCCCCCTATAATTTTTATTTTAAACCACTGGCAACTGCTCTAATAATTTTGCATAAAATTGAATCTCACTTAGTACATAGTCATAATTAGACATGTTTATTTTGGGGTATTCACATTCCTCAGTGCTCTACACAGAAATCCATAATGTTCCAGTGATTCACCACCTAAGTGAGTTTCAGACCTTCTGGCATAATTACTCATAATTCATATTCAATTAGTCATAAATTTGGATGGGGTGCAATGCATGCCTATTTTAAGTTGGCTTTTTTTTTTTTTAACATAGACCAAGGATATTTTGGGAGACCTGTACTTTTACCAGGTTTATATAATCTTATTATTTTGTTCAGCAAACTCATATTTATGGAATATAATATATAGTGGAATTGCCAAGTCAGAGTGAAATGGAAGCAGCTACGATGACTGGAGCCCACAAAAACCAACAAACAACAAAAGACACGGCCCTCTTTTATTGACAGATTCAACTTACTGAACACATGTTGAGAGCACACTATGCGTCAGGCACTGTACTAATTTGTGTACTATTGCTTTTATGGCAAAGCAAACACTACTGCAATGACCCATCCTTGATTCAGTTTGTGTGCACTACAACTCGATCACGCTCAACTCATTACATCTTAATTAGGGTGATGGGCTATCGACCCCTTCAGGAGGCTGTGTGGTATGATTCAGAGAGACTCGAGTACAAACCCCAGATCACTAAGTAGGGAGGTGGGTCCTGGATCCTCCCTACAAGGGACGAAAATATTTTTTTTCTGGGATATTAAGAGCCCTGGGATATAGTAGGCACTGGAGAAATGTCACTCATCTTCCCCAAAGTCAAGACTATTGATGTGTAAAATTTGCTCTTTGATTTGGATGTATGAATTTTTCATTAAATGTGGAATGCAGGCAGGATGCTACTTCTCTTTCCCTGCCCCCGACTGCGCCAATGCTGAGTGGTTTGTGTCAGTAATAAGCAAATGTCACTTACCTAAATTAGGCAGCGAAATGGAAAATGCACTGTTGACAAAAGACACAAATGGGTTAGGGAAGAAAGCCATGTTCAGAGTAGCAGAGCGATGACTAGCTTTCTTGAGACAGATGCTTCTGGCCAAAGATGGGGAGCTTACTTTTCCTGTATCTGTGTTCTGCCCCCTGCCCCCTTTTGAAATGAGCTTATTTATCCCAAGTGACCACGTATAGCTCCTTTCCTAACCAGACAACCTCAGGCCGTCCCACAGCCCTGCTGTTCTCCATCCACGGGATTCTCTTTCTGCCTCCTCACCTTCGAAGATGTCAGTCAGATGCACACACTGTTATAAGCACGGTGAGAGTGAACAACCCTCTGCACACACTGGGCCCTGCCTAGGAATATGCACAAGCCAAAGGGAGAGGGGAGGATTCCAGGCCAGGTAGAACTGGAAGATGGCAAATTGCTAGGTGGGAGAGCGAAGACATTTGGCTCAGATAGATTGTTTGGCTCGCCTTAAATCTCACAGTTAAGATCCCATGGAAGGAAGTATGATATAGTAGAAAAAATATCCATGTATTTTAAGCAGTTTTTTAAATTCAGCCCTACAGGGATTTTGGAGACACTCACCATGGGCCAGGCCCATGTGCTGGGTATATAGCCTAATTAGACACAGTTTCTGTCCTGAAGTAGGTTAGGATTTAGTGAGGGAGACCAAAAGTAAATTAATGTAACTTTGTGAAAAAAACATAATGAAGGAATGTCCAAAGGAACAGCACTTTTGGGAAAATCAGCTCACCTTTATGCAAGTCTCAGTTTCTTCATTTCTAAAATGAATCTGGTGCCTGCCTTACCGAGTTACTTCTGCATGGGATAAGCATTCCTAAGCAAACGTGCCGGGACACACCTGATGATCAGGGGCCCCTGCTGGCGTGTCTGTAGGACCAGACTAGACGATGTCGGCATGGAGATGTGCAGGATGGAGTAGAAGTCAGAGAGAGCATCTCATCTGGATTCAATTTACCAGGGGCTGTGGGTGTTGTGCTAATAATTTTTGTCAGAAGTATCTAACCTGCTAAGGCCAGGGCGTGCCTCTAGGTCTCACTGACCACTGGAGCTAAACACACTCTTCCTCCATGGCCAGGACTGCGATGTATAAACCTTATATTCTGTTGGATCTCTTGGTCGATCTATATCCAACAGACAATTAGACTTAAAGCTGCATAACTTGAAGGTTTTATAATTGAAAAGAACTTCAAGGTAGAATAACATAATTCCATGTCAGTATATGTAATGACCTTGGGCTAATTATTTTATCATTTCCTGCCCTTGTAAAATAACAGATCTAGGTGTATGTCTATATGCCTGTATCTATAGATTAGGGAGAGAAGTGCCTCCAGAGACTACCCAGTCTCCCTTTCATTGTATGCCACAGGAAAAGGGCTATATGGGTGCAAAAACAAAGTGAATTGCCCACACTGAATAAACGGAATAGCTGAAACCTGAATCCAGACTCTAGGCCTCTATCTCTTCCTATTATCAGTGAAACTGTAAACTTCCCAAAGGTTGGTACCTGCTGGGGTGATCTTGGAGGGTAGCTTTCCAGGCCTAAGGCTTTGAGATACACAGACCATTCAGCTGAGTTCATTTCCCCTCTCCACACATTGCCTTTCTCAAGAGAGGCAAATTAGAATACAGAGTGTAGACAAATAAGAACCACTGGAACTTGTTGGAATAAGAAAGCATAAAGGTCTGTAATTAATAACATAATGCTTAGTGATAATTTTGGGGGCAGAGATGTTGATCATGCTCTGTTAACCATGATTGTGCAAGGGGGGAGAGCACCTAATAGGACTAGGACCATAGTTGTTTAATGATTATTCACCTTACTAACTATAGATAAGTTTTCCTACAGACCCTGGGAAACTGAAGGATGTGCTACAAGAAAAACAGAGCTGTAAAAAGATAAGACACACCTTGGGGCCTAGATGGGTTCATTGCTCAGAAAAGAAAATGCATTTTAAGAACAGACAAAGGACAGGATGTGCTTTGATTTGGTTGCTGTGCCTGGAGCCTGAACCCTCCACTCCTGGAGTTTACCTCAGGAATTCTGACCATTCTTTGGTCTCAGGAACTAAAGAAATTGGGTTTTAACACCACTGAAAATTAACTACCTTGTTATTGGACTTCAACATCCTGAAAGGAGACACACAGACCATAGACTCTGAAGTCATCCTTCCCTCCCTTCCCCCTTGCCTGCAGCCTTTCTTCCTGACCCCGATATAATCAGCCAGCTAGTAGAAGGAGAGGAGAACAGATTTCATGTGGATGAATCCCTCTGTTCTCCCATTCTGCAGGCAATATTGGAATAAACGCTCATATATGATTCAACCTTGCCTCTGTTTAATTGGCTGAAGTAGCAACAGGCAGCCCAGAACCATTGTGTCTGGTTTCAATAACAGGAATATATATCACAGATGATGAGGTCAGTTTTCTTTCTGGACTTTGCTTAAGACTTTCCTGTACTTTTTCTCATCATCTTTTTCAAAAGGGACTTTGTCATTTTTTTCATTAGTATCTGTGGATGTGCTTTGCTCAAAGATGGGCAAGAAGGAGGTAGGTGATAACCAGAGCCTTTGGTTTTACTTTCTGATATCCCCTCCACTGTGTCTGAGAATGGAATCAGGCTGTGTGATTACCAGGCCGGTACTGCTAACCTTCTCCTGGAAAGAGAAATAAAAGGGGACTTTTTACCTTACATTTTCTTTCAACTTGGTTTTCTTCATCTTAAATCTATCCTTTTCTTTCTTGAAGAATCTCTGCAGCCTCTTAAGTGTTTTTCCATCTAAACTAAGAGGAATCAAAGGGTAGAAACACAGCGTTTGAGAGAGTACTAGAAATGGAAGGCCGGTGCAGTAAGAAGGATCGAAAGCTCTGGCGTCATTTCTAAAACACGGTGCCCAAGGGAGAGCAGGAAAAGGCCCCATCAAAGTCTCTGTTCTTTGTTTTGAATGCCAACGTGAAGTAGCGCAGGCCAGTCAGCCACTAAGAGAATTATTATATCTCAGTACAAACATCCAGTTATGCTAAATGGTCTCTATTTTGCACTTTATGGAACAAAGTCTTCCTTTTAGAGGTGACTCAGGGAGGCATAGTTTACAAACTATACTAGAAATAAATTATAGGAATTCCTGGCTCCTAAAATTCACGTCACTGATTTTTAACTTACTGAATGATATAATAGAACGATGGTGGGAAACTGACTGCCTAGTTGATGAATAAAGTTTTTCCAAATATGCTCTTGGTTTTGTGTGTTTTTCCTCGGTGGGGGTGGTTAGGGAAAGGTAATGATACACCCACATCATCTCACCCAGCATGGATCCCCTCTTTTTCCTTCAATCCTCTAACTTCTTGCTTTTGACCATTGCTTTTTTCTTTTCCACAACTTGGCCCTAATAACTAAACTTGACAAATAATGCCCACTTGAACAAATATTATTATTTTATTATTATATATATTTTTTGTATGCTCATGACCAGACATTATGTAACTTAATACATGCCAATCCGAATAAATTCCGCATCTATGCAGCACCAGGCCTATTTATTAGAATATTATCGACTATATTCCCTGTGCTGTACATTACATCCCATGACTATTCTGTAACAACCAATTTGTACTTCTTTTTTGTGTTTGTTCTTTTGTTTAATCCTCACCTGAGGATATTTTTTCCATTGCTTTTCAGAGAGAGTGGAAGGGAGAGAGAGAAAGAGAGAGGGAGAGAGAGAGGGAGAGAGAGAGGGAGAGAGAAACATTGATTGGTTGCCTCCCGCACACGCCCGAACCAGGGCTGGGGATCGAGCCTGCAACCTCAGTACGTGTCCTTGACTAGAATAGAACCGGAGACCCTTCAGTCTGCCGGCTAACATTTTAACCACTGAGCCAAACCAGCTAGGGCCAATTTGTACTTCACAATCCCTTTCTTGATAACCATCGATTTCTTCCTGGAAAAGTACTACAGAATTGAAGCAGTTTTGTTGACATTTACTTCTTTCTTACTTATTTTCTAACACAATATCAAAATCCTCTACTTTGGGGAACAAACATTTTCTCAAAAGAAAAAGCAATGTGATTTGAAATTTACACCATGTGATTGTGCACAATTACAGGCGTTCTCTTGACCACAAAGTAGCATTACAGTAGCTAACCTCCATTCTCAGTGCAAATCCTCCCTAGAGATGGTGGGGGCAGAGAAGGGAGTCACTTCTTAAACTCATCTTCCTAGACCAACAGGAAATACCATTAGCTAGGAAGCCAAGAGAGAGAGAAACTCACTCTATCTTTGTCGAGTTGCTCTTTGTTTTGTATACATCTTCATACATTTCTTTACTGTTTTCTTCTGAAATTAAAAAAAAAAATCTCATTCATCATAATGACAATAGTTCAGATTCATATTCAACAAAAAATTATTGGATACCTACTAGGTGCTAGGGTACTTTGATCTTTCTTTTGTTAAATAGTTTTTCTTGAAACATAAGTACATATTTTTATAAGCACATGGTAAAAATAATTAAGCCTCTATAAAAGTAGTATGAACAAATGAAAATGAATATTCGATTCCACCCGAGTCCAAGTGTTATCTGATTTAGTCAATGAAAGTTGGTTTATCAACAGCTTCCTTCCTTCTACCCTCCCCTTTTGCATATTTAATATGTAGCAATGAGAGCCTACTAAACATCAGACACTGTGTTGAGCTCTGGGGAAATAATAGAGAACGAATACATCTTGAGTTATCTTTCTCCTCATAGCCTGGCTTTAGCCTACCCAACACGTAAGCTTAACATACACAGATATACTTTGAATCCACCCTGACAACGGAGGATTTTCACGTTCAGAACTTGACCTACAGTGAGTTTAGGGGAGTTACTGAACTTCTCTGTGCCTCAGTTTCCATTTTAAAATGAGGGCACTGTGTTTAATGGTCTCTCAGATGGTTTTTCCATCTAAAATCCTGACATTCTAAGCAGGACAAAAGCAACCAGAGTAGCATTTGATCACCCTTTCTCTATTTTTTTCATTCATTCATTCAACAAATATTTAATAAATACATAACATGTGCCTGTTGTTATGCTAGGGGCTAAGGAATATAGTAAGCATAAAGAAGGCAACTACGTAGGAGGGAAGACAGTCATGAATCCAAGAATCACGTAAATAGGAAATTATAACTCTGACAAGTGCTATGAAAAAGAGAGCCTGTTACTCTGAGACTGTACACCAAGGAGAATATTCCCTGGGCGAGTAATGGTTGAGCTGCGATCAGAAGGAAGGTTGAGAGTCACTTAGGCACAGAGGTGTGGAGGGAGGCGTGGTTGGGAAAGAAAAGCCAGGAAGAGGGAGACAGGCAAACACCCTGGGGCGGGAGCTCGGCGGGAGCTCAAGGCCGGCAGAGCGCCTCTCAGAGGCGCAGCGTGCGGAGGGCGCGGCACAGGCTGCAGGGGCAGGTAGGGGCAGGTAGGGGCAGGTAGGGGCAAAGCTCTCCAGGCCTTCGGGCCGCGTCCAGGTCGACCCTAAAAGCCCTGGGAAGCTGTGAAAGCGTTTTATGTAGAAACATTCCTACACTCTGACTTCCGTTTCTGAAATGCCTTCCCGGACTTACCACTGTCTGAGGCAAGCGAGTTGGAGAAGTTCGACTTTGATCTGCGGGGAGAAAAGAAACAAAGACCGTTCATCCTTCCAGGGCACCGGTAAAGTCTCACCACACTCATTCAACGCCTCACCGCGCTGCCGGGGGCTGGGATGTACGTACTCCTTTCTCCTGGGGTACTCGACGTCATCATAGGTCTCTTCTGAGATGGAACTTGGCTTAGAGGCCCCTTGGCCCGGTGTTCCTTTAGTCACCTCCAAGGCCTCCACATACCCACCTGTAAGGAAAACAGGGAAGCCGTCGGAAGAGCGAGCCCTATCATAAATGCACTCACACACCCCACTGGCAACGGAGTCAAGAGGAGAAGGCAGATTACATACACTAAAGCTGGTTTATGGTCTTGGTTTATATGATCCTTTGGCAAACCACTTCCCCATGCAGAGGCTCAGCTGTGATTCTCTGAAGTTGGGAGAGTGATTAATAACACCTTCTCTTATGTGACTGTGGCAGGATTAACGCATTTTTATGATGGGAGCTAGTTCCCCAGTGAACCAGCAACTCCTCCCTCCTCTTGGATGGTTCTCCCTGACCTCAAAGGCTGAAGTCCTCGAGGGTACAGCCCTGGGGCTTCTCTCTCTGCCTAAATGAGCTTCTCCAGTTTTGCACTTTTCTTTTTTCTTCTTAAAGTAAAATTTCTTAGACAAGCTAATTAAATAGATGTCAACATTTAATATTCATTAATGTTGGAATCAGCCAGAAGATGGTTTGCCAGGTGGAAAAATGTATTGGAGTTGTTTGCACAAGTAACTAGCCTGTTAAATGCAGGTACTGGTTTATTTCACAGAGCTGTAATTTTGTCATAACCATATAACTGCCACCTTTTTATCAGTTGGCACAGGTTAACATTTAGAGTACAGGTGATTCAGAACCACTTTCAGACATGAACTGTTAATGAGAAATAAGTAGTAATATATCTGCAAAATAAACAATTAGGAAATTGAGTTGTCTATTAATTATATGAACCAAGTAACAAGATTTTATTCTCTGACAAGAAGTCAGTTAGCACATAGGCCTTAATGAAGGCAGCTCCCACAGGCATAAGGTCCCCCTTGTTCTTAAGGGTTATCAGTCAGTTTCTCCAACACAAAGCAAAGATGCTGAACACAAAGCTGCTTATCGTAGTCCGGGACATTTTTTCCCCTTTCTCAATCCTTCCTTTTGGCAGAGGCGAATGTACAAGTTTGCCTCTTCATTTTTAAAACATAGACAACTCCCAAAGTTACAGCTCTAAGTTAGACATCTCTGATAAATTCTAGATACTCCATCTAGATACACCGTTTCTGTTTGCTTGTCCTAACATACTGCGTTCCAGTCCAAACTCACGATTTCCCCCTGCACATCTGCCCTGCCTGACATCTGCCCCAACTCAATGAAAAGTGGCAACTCCATCCTTTCGGTTGCTCAGGTCCACACCCTTGAAGACATCTTTGTCTCCTTTCTCTCTCATATCCCACCTCAGGCCCAGGGCTCTACCTTCATGTTATATCCCGAATCCAAACGCATCTCAACAACTCTACTCTGGCACCCTTCTCCAAGCGGCCATCGTATCTCGGTGAACTTCCTGCAGCGAACTCCTAACAGGTCCCCCGATTTATCCTACGTGCTGCTTTCAAGACAGCAGCCAGGATGGCTCTTTACAATACCAGTAAGATCACTCTATTCGTGAGCTTAAAACCTTTCACTGGGTTTTAAAATCTCATTTAGAGTAAATGCCAAAGTTCTTGCAATGGTCTGGAAAAGCCCCCTGTTATCTCTGACCTCGTGTCCAACTACACTCTCCTTCAGTCACTCTGCTCTGGTCACGCTGGCCTCCTTGCCATTTCCATCCACACGGCCAGTGGTCCTGCCTCAGGATATTACCACTACTTTTCTCCTCTCACCGAACATTCCTACCCCAGGTACTCATATGGCTCACTTCCTCAACTTAAGGTCTTGAGGTCATCCATGAGCACTTTAAAACTGCCACTTCTAAGACCTCCACCAGCCCCCCTAATTCTCTGTGCTTTAATCCCCCCCATCACATTTACTACCATTCCACACAGTGGCTGGCTATTTTACTGTTTACATATTTATTATGTCTCTGCTGATCAGAATGTAACCTCTGTGAAGATGGGAATTTTTGTCTGTTTTCTCAACTGTTATACTCCCAGCATCTAGAACAGTGAGAGCACATTTAAAAATAATAATAATAATATAGAATGATTTCAATGCCTATATCTTCTAACAAGAGTTTTGTGTATTAAGTTTATAGTGTTTACTGATATTTTAAAATTTATATCTACTATCTTATTACATACGTTCTATTTTTTTCCTCATTTTGCTGTTTCTTAATTGACTGAGATGTCTTCTCTTCATTTGGTTCTTTTTTTGTTTGAAAGGGAAGTGTGGTATGACTTTTTTTTAACAGTTACCCTACTATGTTTTTAAATTTAATTAAAGTATAATATACAGGAAAGGGCACAAATCATAAGATCAACAAATTTTCCCAAATGGAATATATTCATGTACTAAGCGCAGGGATGAGGAAACATCCCAGTGCCAGCGGCCCAGAGCGCCCTCTTGTGCTCTCTTCTAGTCACTATTCCCTCCCACAAGGGAAACGCTCTCTTCATTTCTAATACCAGAGGTGAACACTGTATCTTTTTGAATTTCCTATTAAAGGAATCATTTAGAATGCCCTTTTTTGGTGTGTCACCTTTCATTCAATATTATGTTTGTGAGATTCATTTATGTTGTTGGATATAGTTGTAATTTGTTCTCTCCTATAACTATTCCATTGTGTGAATACTCTATAATTTATTTTTCCATTCTACTTTTGATGGACATTTAAATAGCTTCCAGTTTAAGGCTATTATAAAAAAGTTCTTCTATAAACATGTTGTATGTGTATTGGTACACTGAAATATGAAATTCTATTGGTTATAAGAATAGGCATGGCCCAGCTGGGTGTGGGTCAGCGGTTGAATATCAACCCATGACCCAGGAGGTCATGGTTCGATTCCCGCTTTCGGGAATATTCCCCGTGAGGGCGCATGCCCGGGTTGCGGACTCAGTTCCTAGCAGGGGGCGTGCAGGAGGCAGCTGATCAATGACTCTCATCATTGATGTTTCTATCTCTCTCCCTCTCCCTGCCTCTCTCTGAAATCAATAAAAACATATTAAAAAAAAAAAAAGGCACAGAACGGTTAGGTCATAGGATATGTACATAGGATATTGGGCTTTAACAGGTATTGCTGAACAGTTTCCAATGCAATTATCCCAGTTTAAAATCTCAGCAGTGGAGAAGAGGTAGGTTGTTCTATAACTTCACTGACACTTGAGACATTTTGTCTTTTGTAATTTTAGCCATTTTGGTGGGCACGTAGTGTTATTGCATTGTAGGTTTTATTTGCATTTCCCTGAGACTTGAATAGCTTCATATAGTATACTTGCCTTTTAGATAACCTCTCTGGTGAAGTGTCTCTTCAAACATTTTCCCAATTTCTCTAAATTTCTTTTTCCTGATTGATTTCTATTTTATATATTCTGGATACAGGATGTTTATAGAAATATAAAATATTTCCATTTTATATTTTCTGGATACAAGGATGTTTATAGAACTCATATATATTTCATGCGTGAGTCTTTTGATGTAGTTCTTTGTCCTAAACTAAATATCTTCTACTCTGTAACATACCTTTAGTCTTTCACTGGTATCTTTTGATGAATATATGCTAGCTATTCTAATTCTTTTAAGGCTAACGTGAATTAATATTGTTACTCTCAATCAAAAACCTTAGAAGGCTTCAACTCTGACTACCTTCCCAATGTATTTGTTATTAATGTTAATGTTTTCGTTCCCTTTCCCCTAATTTGATACTAATATTGTTTGGTTAATACTTTTGCTGAGCTTTCTCTCTTGCATCCAAAATTCTTTATGTGGGATTATTTTCTTTCTGTTTGAAATACATGCTTTAGAATTTCCTTTGGAAAGTTTCGTTTGATCTGTAATACTTTCAACAATAAAGATAATTTTTTTTTTTTTAAAAGAAACTTTTTTTGGTCATTAAAATATCTCATTTTTTGTTTGTCTGAAAATACCTTTTCTCCCCCCTTCACTTTGACAGGCATTTTCACTAGTTACAAAATTCTGGGTAGGCATTTAAGATATTTCAGCAGTATTGTATTCTAGTTACACACTCTTATTTCTGAGGACTCGATAGTTACCTACTTGTTGCTTTGTAGGCAATTGGTGTTTTCCCTTTGTCTGCTTTTAAGGTACTTTAAGGTATTTTCTCATTCTTCAGTGTTCTTCAGTTTCTCTAAGGTTTGGCTAGGTGTGGATTTCCTTTATTTTTCCTGCTTGAGAACTTTAGTGTTCATGGACCTGCAAATTGATATCTTTCAACAATTCTAGAAATGATCAGACATTATGTCTTTTATCTATTACTTCTTACCCATACTTGTGTCCTTTTATATAACTCTGATTTGATGATTTGAAGACTCTCATTCTTTTCTCCATGACTCTTATCCTCTCTTTTATTCTTTTTCAATCATTTCCCTTGTAGAATGAATTTTCGATAATTTTTCTCGAATTATCTTCTAGTTCACTGATTTCATCTTCAGCTGTGTCTAATCTGGTGTGTGATTCATCCACTGCATTTCTATATTAGTTTCTCAATTACTTTTTAATATTTTTCAAATTTGTTTATTCTTTTATTTAAAAAACATCAAATATAGTTATCTTATATTTTGTATCTTATAATCCTATTATCTGTAGTATCTTGCAGGTTGGTTTCTGTTGTCTGTTCTCCTGTTTTTCACTCACTGTTATTTGCTTCCTTGTGTGTTTAGGTTTTGTTTGTTTGTTTGTTTTTGTCTATGAACTGTTAATTTTTAAAAAATCATTTTGTGGGAATTATTTAAAAACTGGGATAAAGGCAGAATTTCATCAAAGATGATTTAAGTTTGCTTTTACCAGTTGTCAAGCTGATACCACTTTGGATTCAACTGGGTTTCTTTTGAGCTATACAGATAGTGTGACTTTGAAATGCAGATGCACGTGAGGGTTAGATTATGATAACTGATGTATCACAGGGTCAAAACGGGCAAATTTTCTTCTACTCAGTGGGGTTTATGTCTTGCTAATTCTTTTTTTTTTTCCCCAATCAAAGGAGCAATACTTTTATTTTTTCAAAAGAGGCCTACTTCAATAGGAGTATTAAAAAATACTTGTATTTTTTCTCAAACTTTCCTGTTTCATACCCACTCTCCTCAACTAAACATTTTGTGCTATTCATCATAAGTACTGCAAAAACTTATTAATGGGTTCAGCAACTCCCTTTGTGCTTTGGCAGCATGTATGGATTACTCAGAATAATCTTCTTCAGCTATTTTCATCATAGCACAATCCCCAAACCTATAGTGACTCTTCATGGACATTAAGTAATTGTATGAAAATGGCTTTTGCCCCCATATCATGGCTCCCCTTTAACTCTTTTATTCACTTCAACTTATTTTCCTCTCTTCCACTTTTCCCCCTTATACTCTAAATAATTCTATTCATTTCTCATTGTAAGGCATGATTTTTAAATTAATGCTACCTCTGTGTTTTGTCATTCACCTCATCAAAAATGTCTCCCCACCCCTATGCCTTTTTTTTTTTTTAATTAAAAATTCTTTTTTGTGCTAAGCACACATGAGAGCTACCATCTTAACAAATTTATAAGGACACAATACAGTAATGTTTAACTATAGGCACAGTCTTGCTTACTCTTAAAGTGTGGGTGTAATCCTTTGGGGCCCTAAATTTATGCAGGAGTCTCCTATTATGCACTTACTCTGGGCAGGCCTGGGGTACAGCCCTTATACTCTGCATACCATGCAGTCAAAACAGGAGCTCAAGGGATTCAGAGTTTAGTAAAAACCCTCAGGGCAAAAGTAGATTTGGGACTCACTCGCTTCCCAAGATTCCTGTTTATTGTAGACATGTAGATGCTTTCTTTTTATATCAAGTCTATGATAGCTCTATCAATTTTTAAAAATAATTTATTCTTTACTTGTTTCTGTCAGGACAGTCAGACTGTCTCATCTACTATAATGTTAGAAACTAAAGGCTGATTTATTCTTTCATTCCTTTACTTTCCCAAGTTTTGTTAGGTAGCTCAAATGGGCCAGACTCCATGTTACAGAGACACAGATAAAAAAAATGGTCTCTGATCTCAGGATGCTCACAGTATGCCATGGGAGACAATCATGTACAAGATGAATTATAAAGTAAGGCATGCTGTGGTTTTACAGAAGTGAAAATAAATGAAGAAAACTAACAGTATTTAGCATAGGAACCAGACATTTTACAGGCAGTGACAAACAGCACTGGGAAATAAGTAGTAGCGTCCTCATTTGCACGTGGAAGTAAGTAAATTTTCCAAGGTTATAGGATTTGTATATAGTGGTTCTGGGTCCCAGAAATGCTCAACTCTAAAGCCTAACATGGAAACGTGGCCATTCAGTTGTCAAGTGTCATGGAAACAGAGGTGAGAGGAATTGTGGTCCCTGGAGAGTGGGAAAGAGGAAGATGGGCTAAGGTAAGTGAGGCCTCAGAAGAAGTGGCTTTTGACATAGATCTGAAAGGATTCATAGGACATCAGCAGGTGAAGAATGAGCATTTCAGACAGAGGAAAGAGATCAAGCAAAATGACAGGAGTGCTTAAGCACATGCCATAGTCAGTAGACTGAGAATAGAGCAAGAGGGATGCAGGGAAGGTGTGTGGCAGGGATGAGGCCAGCTGGCCAGGGTGGGCCTGGAGTCCATCTCATGATCACTACAAATTTATTCTTCCTATAACTGTGATTCTCATACTTTATGAAATGTCAGTGGTTTGCTATGGTTTATTGGGCTGGAGTGAACATCTGTTTTCTTTATCCAGCATCTAATTTTTCTTTTTCTTTTCTGATAAAAGCCCTCTTATTTTCCTTGGGAAATCTTTCAATCTCGTGTTATGTAGTTTTGCTAGAACTGACGCTACCCCGAGCTCCAGGGACGAGTTTATGATCCAGGCTGGGTCAACCAGAGCACCATATCTCCCATTTATAGTGACTAGTTCGGGGATGGTATGTGGCCGAAGCAGAGCCAGTAAGACTCATATCTGGGCCTTTTCTTATAACTGTTGAGAATATAACAATTTCTAGTTTTCCTCTGTGGTTCCTAAGAGGATAGGGTCTGAGCCTGTCACTGCTAGATGTCATCTTGCCTCCACAAGGGTAGAATTCATCTAAAAATGGAGCTGACCCAAACGGGAGCAGACCCAGAAGCAGAAAAGTAATATTGAGTCCTTGTAGTATTGTTTGTGTCCCTGGATCCAGCCCTGCCCAGACTTTCTGCTAGGCAGCCTCCTTCTCTTGTTTTGCTTGAGAAAGTATGATTTGATTACTGTTACTGGCAATCAAGTGTCTTGCCTAACATGAAGGTAAAATTCAACCTAAATAAAGTCAAGTAATGATATCATACTATAGCATCAGTGTGTCAGTTACTTGGGCCTACAAAAACAAAACAAAAACAACCACCACAGAATCTGGTAGATTAAAAAGAAGGGAACAAACGTCTGCTGAGTACCTATTATGTGACCTACCTTCGAATTTAGTCTTCATAAAACCCCGGTGAGGCCCATATTATGATCCCTTTTTAAAGTAAAGAAATTAAGCTGTAGGAATATCAAGTTACTTACCACATGGCTAATAAGTCTTAGAATCTAGATGGAACTCAGGTCTTCTGCTTCTAAATCCAGTGCTCTTTCCACTACTGCTCAGCTGCCTCACTAGGGCAAGTTACTTGGTACATAACAGTTGTTTAATAAATATTTATAAAATAAATTAAAATCCTGGCAATGCACAACTTTAAACTAATTTTGTAATGGTGAAAAGAACCAAGAAGTTATGCAACTTACATTGGCCTTGGAAGCGCCTGGCCAGCTTCAAGTCCTCGGGGCAGGCCTTTGTCTGGATGCTGTCAATCACAGCATTCTGCTTTCTGGACAGTGTGCTCTCCATAAATCTGTGGCCTCTCATGACTGGGACTTTTCCAGGTGTCTCTTCATAGGAACCCACCTAAACACATGCAATAGGGAGAGTACTGTTTAGTTCTTTGCTTACTTAGGCTGTTCTTTATTCATTCCTCACACACAGCACTTATTATTTTATTTAACACTGTCTTATGAGACTCTAACTATCATGAGGACTCATACTGCTTCTTTTGTTCACCTCTGAATGGCCAATGAATGCTGGGCACAGAGGGGGACACAGGAGGCAACCAGGACAGAATGGAGCCCTGAGCACAGGGCAGGCTCTTCCTATATTTAATCTCACTAAATGTTCATGACCCACCATCAGGCAAATATCATTAGTCCTCTTGATAAAGAGTTTTGGGAAAAGTTAAATAACTGGCCTCTGGTTGCACAGCTAGTAATATACAGAGGCAGGATTTGACCTTAGACCCCTGTGCTCTTGACCACTAAGAAATGCTTGGTTCCTTTCACCTGACATCTCATCTTTTCACCCACCATTCTTCTGTTCCTCCCCAACTCTTTCCAGCATTTGTTAAACACTTACTAAAGGTGAGACAACATGCTAAGCTCTGGAGATAGAGAGATGCAACAAGCATGGTGGTTTACACACATGGAGACAGTACATGCAAATAATTAAGATATAACGTGGCAAGTTTTTCACAACAGTATGGAAACAGAGAGAAGGAGCTCAAATCTCTTGGCTAAGAGACAAGGTTGGGGAAGACTTCAAAGGCAGGTTTATCAAACTGTACTTTAAAATATGAGTAAGGGATTGATAGGGAGGCTAAAGGAATACCTGGCAGCTAAACCAGCGTGCGCAAAGGCATGGCGTATCTGAAGAGGTGTTGGTGTCCTCATGAGAGTAGCATGGAGGCTACTGATGAGGGAAGCATCGAGGGGCCAGGGCAAGGACTGGGGAAGAACAACCGGAAATGAGACTGAAAAGACAAGATGGAATGGGGCTGGTTGTGAAGGATCTTACCTCCCAGGCACAGAGTGTGGGCTTTATCTCATAGCTACAGGGAGCCAGGCAGGAAAGAAACCTGTTCAGATCTGCATTTCAGAAAGACCTGGATACATTGACAGGAAGAGACACTGGAGACAGAGGAGGATTAGGACATTTGTGACTATCTATGTGTTTTTTAATGATCAGATGACACAGGAGAGGGGATGACTGTCCTTCTGACCACAAGTGAACATGAGGGTTGACTATGATGATACATTTGAAAGTATTTGGAAAAAGCTAAAGTAATCAATAGATACAAGGCATGGAATTTCCTGAGTTCCTGCTGGGATCTGAGCAAACTAAGCAGAGAATAAGAGGAGGGGGCATCCTTTTTAGTAACATAGCCCTAAATCATGCTGCTCTACTGCTTTTCCCATAGGATCCTGATTAACCCCTTCCTGATCGCGGGTCTCGTCACCCATGTATGGCCCCGCCTGCCCTCTGGCCTTGACATGAAATGCTGCTCCCAGGGCTCTGGTCCTGTCTTTCATCATGAGTGACTTCTCTGAATTAGGCTGCTTTGTGATACTTTGTAAACACCCAACCTGGTCCAGCCTAGCCTCTGGGAAGACATACCCATTCAGGCTAACACCACCAACAAGCTGTCTGATTTATCCAATCCTTGCAGATGAAACTGGAACAATTTGATATTATAAGGTATCTATTCTGGTAGATATTATACAGGTATCTAGAATGTTTTAAGTACTGGTAGGAGCCCTGGTGGAATCTGTTGTTTAAGCCTCTAATTACTTTGGAGGGAACAGTCAACTGGATATCAGTACACACACATACAGTGTTTACTATTAATAAACAATATTATAAAAATCAATCATTAATAGCCAACAATAATACATTTCATTTTTATTGCTTATGGCTTACACAGTACTTTCATATATATTATTTCATTTTATCATTATGATTGAGGATAGGAATAAGGATGGTAATTGGGTGGGATTATTTATTCCCATTTTACAGAGGGGATGATGGAGCTTAGAGACTGTCACTCTCCCAAGCAGGGCTTTAGAGCACAGACCCCTCTCTCCAGGGTTGTGCAACTTCAGGGCTGGCACCTGAGTGTCTCTTTATATTTTGTCCACTGGGCACCTTGCTGAACTCACACTGGTCCCAGCCCTGCTTCTAAGGCCTACATCATGGCTACTAAGTGGAAAATCCAAGGCTGGAGCTCAGTGTTATTGTCACATTCACGTTTGATAAAATGTCTTGAAAACCCATTGACTTTGTGTCTCTGAAGGCTGCATGTCTTACCCTCTGAGGTCACCCCCTGAACGGATCCTATTACACAGGATGCAGATACCCTAGAATGCAGATACCTTTAAAAGACAGTCTGAACGTAGATCTTTTTCTGTTTTTTGAAGTTCCAACTCAAATGGTTCTTTTTCCTTCATTTTTTTATCTTTATCTTCATGTTTAGGGCTGAAATGTGAAGAGATACTAGGAAAAAAGTGAAGTTTAGAGTGTTTAGATAAAAGTGTACCACACGACTCTGCAGGAAATGGACAGGAAAAATGAATTCAAACAGATGTGAATCCCTCTTCATCTTTTTTTTTTTTTTTAAAGCAGAGGGGGACCAGGGTCAGGTCAACCACAGATAGTTTCTCTGAGTTTCTGCCTGCTTCCATCAATGCCAGAGAATTCCTGAGCACTCCTGTCCACCATTAAGGCCATTTACTGGTTCTTCTGATGAACAGGGGCTGTGAAGTGAGGGCTGGGTTCTAATCCCACTGTCCCTCCTCCTAAAAGCCTAAGATTAACTTTCCTAAAAATCAAATTTTCTCACGTATAAAGGAAAGGTCACAATGTCAATTGCCATAGTTCTGTAAGAATGAAATGTGATAAAAATGTTAAAAGCCTCACATCGTTATAGCATGTGAGAGACCCATAATAATAGTTCTTGGGGTCCTTTTCCTCAAAGCCTTTGCTGAGTTAGTCTCCCAGTTCTTTGTTCCTGTTGCAATCGCTGACATTTTCCCTAAAGTGTTTACCTGCCTTATGGCTGCACATGTCCTCTGGAACCCACCTTCCCACCCCCCAGACCTTGTCCAGGAGTTTTCACACAGCTGAATCTCCATAAATTACTCTCAAACTAAATTTAAGATTGTGACTTATAGGGATAATATTACAAGGGAGAGGGTACATTATCTCTGCTTTGAAACTCTTTCATGGTTCTCCATGACCGACAGGATAAAGTCTCAATCTATGCCGTGCAATACAGTGGCCACCATCCACATGTGGCTATTGAGCAACTGAAATGTGTCTCGTCCAATCTGAGCTGTAAATGTAAAATACATCGGGATTTTAAAGACCTGGCATGCAGAAAAAGCATATAAATACCTCAGTAACAGTTTCTATATAATGATTGCATGTTGAAATAATATTTTGAACATATTGGATAAATGAAATACATTATTAAAATAATTTCAATTGTTTTTTACCTTTTAAAATACGGCTAGTAGAAAAAATTTAAATGACATGTGGTTTGTACATATTTCAGTTGGATAGGGCTGGTCTAAAGCAGTTATTTTCCAACCTTTTTCATCTCATGAAACACATAAACTACTAAAATTCTGCAACACACCAAAAAATATATATTTTTTGCAGATCTAACAAGAAATAGGCATTTTTGTTTTTTAGGTTTTTAAAAAAATAGGTATAGTTTTGATTCATTCACACCAGACAGCTATTGTGTTGGCTGTTGTCATTTTTTCATTTGACAATCTAAGGGAAAAGAGGTCAGTACCCCTGACTAGTCAGGTACTACCTGTTTTAAAAGTTCTTGCAGCACACCGGTTGAAGATCACTGGTCTAAATGGTAATTAGGGAGCTCAGGCCCTCCTGGGTCCAGCTCTCACACTTCCCCAGGTTTGTTCCTGCCACACTTTGTGGCCAAGCATTATCAAACCACTGTGGACTCCCATACCCGCCTCCCTGTTTAACATTCTTTGCTTTAGGCGTTCCTGGTGCCTGGGAACCTGCATTCCCCGCTTTCACCTGACCGATTCCTACATGTTCCAGATTCAGGTCAGCTGTCACTGTTCAAGAAAGCACGCCTGGAGCCTCACCTCTGTGCTTCTACAGCTTCCACAGCAGTGATTGTACTATATTGTAATTTCCTATTTATGTGGTCATTATCCCCTCCAAATAACCCCCCACCCCCATCCACCCCGGCCTCCACTCCCATCTTGGACCAAGGCTAGATTATATATTCTATTCCCTTTTGTGCCTGAACAGAATAAACAGAAGCTAGCAGTGTCTGAACAGAATAAAAGCTCAATACGTGCTGAGCTGAATAATTCATCATTTGACACGCGCCCACCATGTATCCACACTGTGCTAGGTGCTAGAGAGTAACCATGGGCTCACGAACTGAGCCAGGCAGGAACTGAGGAGAGGGGCAAAGGGAGCCCAGCAGCCAAAGCAGAGTGCGCCCCACAGTCTAGCACCTGTGTTTCTGACCTCAGCCAGGGAATGTTGATATTTGCTTCTCCAGAGCTCACCACCATGTTTATTCTAATGCAGTAAAAATAGCTCCAGGGGGAGGGTGGCTCTGAAGAGGCAGGGGAGACCACTGCTATGTGCCAGTGCCCTGCTCTGAGCCAGGAGGTCTGAGAGGCGCCAGGATCACCAAGAACAAGGAAACACGGGCGCTGTCTGCAAGGAGCTCACAGAGGAGAGGGTGGGCAGGGGGCTGAGAATGAACAGGCATGTTAAACACCATAGAGAGAGACATTGGTGCAAACTCCTGATTACCTTACAGTGGCACCACGGGGAAGGGACTGGTTACCTCTCCCTGGAGGGGGAGAATCAAGGGAGGCTTCTTGTAGGAGGGGCATTTGATGCTGCCAGTTCATTAGGTTGGGGTGAGTTAATTCAATGAGCAAAGGCAAAGAGACTTGAAACAGCAAGGTGCGTTTGGGGAATGTTAAATTCTTGGGAATTCCTGTGATTGTTACATGCTGGTTGGATTGTGTGACACTTGCTCTAATCCAGGAGTCTCTGAGGGTAGTGTCTAGACTTCTGTCAAGGCTACAGTCCCAGAAGCTCACAAATGACTCACTCGTGCTGGGGCTCAGTAAGTGTTGGCTGAGTGAGAGCAGCTGGAACAAGGCGAGAGGGAATGGACCCCTGAGCACCTTCTCTGCACCAGGTGCCTTGCCAGGCACATGGGTGCTGAGCCAGATCAGGCACTGGAATCACAGCTGGCCCACTGGGGACATTGGTTCAGTCATCAAAGGGGCAGGGGCTGGAATACTCCTTCTCCTTTGGAAGATAAGACTCACCTAAGTTCTTGGTGGAGGAAACTCTTCCAAGGCTGAAAGTAAAGAGGAAAATGGTCATTTTCATAAACCTACCCTCATCAATCATGTCTGTTTAGTTACAGATCATTAGAGACTAGACTGAAAGGTGAGGTGGGTGAGATCGCAGTACAAGCAAACGTAGACATTGACAACAGAAAATTCCGTGAACTGTCACCAGTGGAGCAGAAGGTCAATCCAACAAGAAAGCAGGCGTTTCTGAAGTTACAGTGCATGCCAGAGGGAATGTATGATTTCACTTAGAAAAATAAACAGTTTCTGCATACCTTTCCAGGAATGCCTCTATAGAACAGAAAACTTTTAAGTCCTGTAAGGAAGTATGAATTTGTGACATTTGAGTAATACGATATTTCAGTGGCCAAATTGGCTAGTGTGCTGGGAATTCTCCCTTACTGATTATGCGCTCTCTGATCAAAAATGAGTTCTAGGTTTGACTCCATTAAAATTGTGTCCCAGTGATGACAACATAGCCCCTCACGTATTTAGTCATCACATAGTTGGTGCCATTCCGTATTTGGAATCTAGCCAAGAACCAGAAGAAAACAGAGCCTATCTCAGCATCCAAATGCAGCCACACAGGCCAGGCCTAACAGCTCAGAGCTATCCTTTCAAGGGAGCCTGCCAGCCTTCATTCAAGGACCACTGGTTTTATTTTCTGTTTAATTTTAGCAATACGGACTGCAGCATTGGTAGAACCAGTGAGATGGACCTTGTTTTCGATCTCTGCTAGTGTTATTTACAGGTTATCGAACCCTCCAGGCCTTCGGTTCTCACCTGTAAAGTGGAAGCAGTGCACCCACTCCCAGGTGACGCTGAGGATGAAGTGATATCGTGTATGCACAGTGCCTGGCACACACAGACCTGGTACGTACACGCCTGAGGATGCAAGAGACTCACAGAGAGATACAGAGATATTGAGAGTAGAAAGAAATGACAGTTGTCAGAAAACAATGACAGCAGACAGACTTGTGGTGGTTTGTGTGAAGGCAACTAGCTCTGAGCACCTGCAGGGGCCCAAGAGCATCTCCTACAGAGGTGCGTGGATTTGTGCTCACTCAGCCCCTTGCGTTCCAGTCATTGGGAAAGGGTGACCTCAGCTTCCAGCCACCAAGAGTAAAAATACTGAGACGAACATAATACATGTCTGAAGGCTAAATGACTTAATTAAAAATTTAAAAGACTTTCATGCTGTTTTATTTATACAATTTGGTCCTTTGGAGAGTTCACTGGCACAGAGAAGTTGATAATTTGCTGATGTTGCCAGGTAAGTGAAGCATTTTAATAGAATGTTTCTGGCTTGTTAATAGGCATAATAATCACTTACAGTTTTCTAGCTATAAAACGCATCCACAAATGAGCAACCCTTTCCAGTAAGCACCAGAAAACTGGAGCAGAAAGTTAAAGGATTTAAACTAAACAGTGGGAAAAGAGAACAACTTTAATGGATCCATTCATGGCATTGGGTAAGTGCCTGCTGTGTGCCAGGTGCAGTCCCAGGTGCTTACCCCCTTTTTCTGACTTAGTTCTCTCAGCAGTTCAGTGAGACAAGGACTGGTGCCCTCTGCACGGACATCTACTACTGTAGGTACACTAGCCACAAGGCACGTGCGTCCTGCCCTTGTGAAGAATACATCATTTACAGAAGATGCAACGGGAGCTCAGAGAGGTAAACTGCGTGGACCAGACCCCAGGTACTTCCTATTCAACTGTTTACCTGAATTTACCTTATATTCAGCCAGCAGCTGGGATCGAGGCCAGTGATTCTGCGAGGGCCCTAATCATGTTGCTACACTGCCTCCAAGGGGTCACTTAGCACCGTGCCTACCAGGAGCCCAGAGCATGTGCCTTCGAGGTTTGGTCACTCTTGTGACAGCACGGGATATACAGACTTGTCTTGTGCCAGTCTCGCCTCTGAAGAGAGTTAGTAAAGCCAGCTGGTGCTGGCCACCATGGATGAAGGGCGGGAACGGATCAGGATCCGAGTTTCCCACTCCATCACACGTTTTCTGGTTCTGACGTTACGGGGCTCAGGCTTCAGAATCTTATCAGCTGGAGCAGGAAAAGCCGCAGAAATCAGGGAGAACTGAAAACAAAGACCTTTTCTCCCTCCTAAAAGAAACTACTTTGGAATCAACTCTGCACACTTGGTTTAGTTAGAAAGTTGTTAAGAAGAGAGGAAACAATACCTTTCGAAGTTCTTCAATTTCAACTTCATAAGTTGCTAAAAGAAACATGAAAAAAAGATGATTTCAAGGCAATTTCTTATGGTACCAGTTTCTTCCAGTACCCAGTATGAAATCAATCGTGAAAGATCGCAGAGCTCAGCTTTCTTAACCTTCACACATCAATCTATAGGACGCTTTGTCCAGGTGGTTTGGGAAATTCTCGGGTCACTGATCACAGTTTTAATTTCTGTGGGCATTTCCACGATGGAAAGAACAGTCAATGAAAACATATGAAACGATTTTGAGTTTCCTGTTTGGGTAAATACATTCCTTCCCCATGATTAAGAGAAAGCCCTGAAATTGTGTGGTAGCACCCAGAAGGCAAACTTGAAAGGAAAAGGAAAGGAAAAAAGGCCCGAAAAAGGCTAAATCCCACTTCAACGAAATGAACTCCACAGCAAGCCTACCCGTGTTTTCTTCCACCTGTGCGTGGTCTCCTAAGTATAACTTAAAGAGAGGAGGCCGACCACCATCTCAGGCTTGAATACATTTTAGTTTCCTCAATAGATCTTTGGATTTTATTCAATTACATGATGCCAACCTAACAAACACAAACAGTGGCAAGAATTTGAGCTCAAGGCCCAATCCTGACATTATCCGTGAGATTGCAGACAGATTACTTCATTTCTTTGAACCTCAGCTAACTTATCTGTGAAATGGGGTCAGTTGGTACCTGCCTTACAGAGATACTGGGGAGATGAAAGGAGATGATGTAAGAACGGTAACACACCTAGCAGATCACTATAGTATAGAAAGTGATGTGTTTTTTGATAAAATTGCTAATTTGTTTGCTTCAAAGTTATCTATAAAAATGTCCCCCATTGTAAATAAATACATGTGCATTATAATCAGGACCCCTAGTTTCTTTTCTCTTTCCGCTAGAGTCCTGAAGCTTTAGTTAGAAAACCCACCAAACCACACACTGCATTACTAAGCCGTTATTATTCCAAACACGCAGCCCATTATTAAAGTAAAGGCAAGCCTAGGTTTCCATAGGGCCTGTGCCCACACGTGATTACTGTCATACGGACCTAAAATTCTGTGTGGACGGTTAACAATATGTACGTCAACTTGGTCATTGTACACTGTTATTTTCACTGGCTTTTGAATCAAACATTCTGCTCCTACTTGCTTTAAAAATTTTGTTTAGCTATTAGTACACTGAAAAGGACTGCTTATGACGCAGATGGGCTCATCCACTCAAAGTATTGGCCTTCCTCCAATTTATTTACCATGTATATATTTATTTAATGAATTAACAAATCATGGCCTCTGCTTCTCCTTGCCACTGGATGGGGGAGATATTACTATTCTGTCTTAGTAATGGGACAGCCAAGGCTGAGACAACTCACTTGGCAAGGCTACTTAACAAAGATGATACATGCACAGCTAATAACACATTCATAATTCGATGCTTTTTTTTTCTTTTTTTTAACAAAGTAGAGCTTCTCTGATGGTAAATTTTGCCATGGAAACTTGCTCCCAAGGTAGGAATGAAAAGTTCCCAAGGCTGTACCCCAGAGGGTCAGGAAGGGACTAGAAATGACAATGAGAATGCAAGCGGCAGCACTGGAGCCCTCGCTCTCTTTTCACATGGAGTTAGGTAACTGTCCCCACTGAACAGCTTTGTCCCAGCTGGGAGAAGAGGAAACTATCAGAAGACGGTCCTCAGCACCCCTCCAACTACTGGTATCATGACGTGGTCCTGTCTTGCAGGCCCTCAGCTCTTGCTCCGTGTACTAAGTCTCTGTGTGACCTCTGGAAAGTTTCCTCACCTCATTTACACAAGGAGATGAGAAGACTATTACCAATATTACAAAGATGATATTGATTTACACTGGGTGAGTTGTGGTAGTGTGTGCTTATATTTATATTTTTAAGAGACTAAACAAGGCGGGGGGAAGAAATTAAATGGCAAAGCAGCATGGCTGTGAATGTTTAAACTCATAGTGCGCTGGGGGAAAATACCATTTTTGACACATTTTCATTCCATACGGGGTTACACTATTAATTGGTTTAGCAGACTTACAATCAGCAATTTCTTTTGCGGTGCACAGGTTAATGGAGCTGCCAGAGTGTCTCAGATATGAAATTGTTGCCTCGTAATTGTGTGGTTCTTCAAATTCAGCCCTGAGAAGCATGGAGAAAAGAAGGTTCGTTAAAATAAAACGTTTCTTTAAACATATTATAAAACTTAGTATTTCTTTCCTCATTAGAGAGGTAATATAAGTATGTCTGGCCCATATGGTAGCCTTAGCAGATATGGAAGGCATACAAACCCTACTATAAATACAGAGGAATTCTGGATGAAATATAATAATGCAAAGACTCGTAGAAAGAACACCTAACTCATCTAGAAATCAATAAGGTAAAAATCTCCAGGTGTCAGACATAGAGAGGAAACCCACAATTAAAGATGTAAATGAGAATGGCAGCCAAGGGACTCAGAGGAAAATTGGAACCAGATAAAGAAAGATCGTAGTGACTGGCCAGCTGGGGACTTAATGTCTGAGTTGGAAGTTAAGTCTGAGCCACAGGCTTCATCTGAAACCGAGCCATTAGCATAAAATCCAGAGTCATAAAATGACATCCCATCTGTAAAATAAATTCTAAAAAATATCAGTGCACTCTCCCAGGGTCTGAGCAGGGAAGACTGAACTGGCTATGGCCATTCAAGCCATGAGAAACCAGAACCTTGGAAACCCACCACCAAAGTACAGATGTGGGTTCTAAATGCACACTGTCTGTGTATTTCAGAGACACAAAGCAAAAAGGGTGCTTGAAATCTAACCCTCCCCTCTGCTAAAGCAAATCTGAAAGTATTTGGTAAACATGCTTCTACAACCTTGGACATCTACAGTTTCTAAAAGAAATAATTCCCACTAAAGACAAGCCTAGAGTCAAAACTGCACACCCCACAAGGAGATGAGGTAGCATAGATAGTCAGAAGATATAGCTCATGGGAGAATTAAATAAGAGAATGACATGAAAGTGACTTTAAAATAAGTACGTTTTAAGTGTTCAAAGAAATGAAGTAGAATATAAAAAAACATGGTGATCAAATAAATTAATAAAGCTATTGATAAATCTAAATAAATATTGACTGTAAAAATGACTAATTTGTGAAACTTTAAGAATAAAATGGATTTAAACTATTAAATAATAATATGGAAGATGGTGAGAGAAGTTATGGGAATTATTCTCAGGTCTTTGTTTTGTTTAGGAGCAGGATAGAGATTTTGACTAACATCAGACTTAATTGCAGATGTCAAAATTTAACTGTAATCACTAAAAAGGATTGAAATAGAATATCTAACTTCTCAACCGATAGAAGGAAAATATTCAATAAGCAAGCTTAAATATTTAAGAAGGCAGAAAAGGAAGGGAAAAATACAAGTAAAGAAATGTCATAGTAAATTTATAATATGAAACATAGTGGGAAAAAGTCCAAAGAGATCAAGAATAATAAAAATGCACAGAGGTTAACCTGCTCCAATAAAATAGAGAATATCTGACTGGATGTTTTAAAAATCCAGCTAATGCTGCTCAAAAGCAACAGACAAACCAAAGCTCTGACATTGATGAGTAGGAAAAGAGAGGCAAACCAAATATGAACCAAAAGAAAGCTGAAATAGGTATATTAACATTAGACCATACTTAGCATGACTGTTCAAGAAAATGAGAGAAGGGGCGCGCACACACACACACACACACACACACCCACACACGAGGTAAAAAAGAGGACAACACTGGAGATAGCTTCAGGTTTTCAGAAATCAATGAAAATGTTATGATCAATTCTCTGCCAATAAATTTGAAAATCTAGAGAAAATCAGCAAGTTTACAGAGAAATATAAAATTACCACAGTGGCTAAAGAGAAATAGAAAAGCGGATAGGCCAATAAACCATGGAAGGGCTTGAATCAATAGCATACCCCCTCCCACAGGCCCCCACCCACCGCCACACTCCCCACCTGTGGCAAGGTTTTATGCCTATTTTCAGAGAACAAGCAAAGAGGGGAAGCTATATTACTCATTTTGAAATGAAAGTATAATTTTGATACAAAACCACAAAATGAGCTAACAATGAAATAAAATATAGCCCAATCTCACTCAAGACATTCTAGCCCAAATAAAATAGTGGAAAAATGAATTAATCAGTAATAAAAATATGTAAAGACAAACAAACAAAATATTCCCAAGACTTCAAGGATGACTCAACATCAGAAAATCTGTCATTGCAATTAATCATATTGAACCAATGAAAGAAAAAATAAACCCACTCATATTATTTTAATAGATGCAAGAAAGCATTCCAGGTAGATAAACTTTCTTAACTAGATTAACCTCCAAAAATGTAACAACAAAGTGGAACAAACAGAGTTCTCATAAACTCTACTGGGAACTCCTGCAAGAGAAAGACAAATAAACCCATAGAAAATTGGACAAAAGCATACGGTAGATTATCACAGAAGCAAACAACTGAACAGCTTATAAGTAAATTCACAACCTCACAGTAAACAGGGAAGTAGAAATGAAGACAATGAGCATTCGGTTCCACATCCTTCCTTTAGCAAGTATCTTACAGTTTGGAAAAAACCTCATTTAGCAAGAATGCGGAACGCAGGAACTCTTCACACTGGTGTGAGCGTATGAATTGGCGCAACTATTTTGGAGGATAATGTTTTAATATCTAGTAAAACTAAAGTCATTTATTTACTTGTGCCTAGCACTTCTAACTCTAAATAAAAAACCCGAGAGAAACTTGCCCATATTGGCCTGTGAGGACATGAGGGCGGCTGCTGCAGCCTCATTGGAAAGGGTGAAAATCTGAAACGGCCTTCACGTTCCTCATGAAGGCGAATGTGAGCAAACTGTGATATGTGTATAAAAAGAAATACAGGCAGCGTGTAAGCAGGATGAATAAACCAGACTTACATGCTTCAACGTATAATATGAAAACACAGCTTTGGGGAAAAATCAAGTTGCAGAACGATAAAATAAGATGTCATGTATAGAAAAATGTAAAATACTGCATCTCTAACCGATACATTAGTTTATAGTTAAAGTATAAGAAATACTCTAAACGGACCCACTCCTGCCTTCATGGCTGGAGTTGCTTCTGGGAAGGGAGCAAGGGAAATGGGACCGGGAAGTGGACTGAAAGGGACTTCAACTGTATCCAGGACAAATGCAAAATGATTTCACACATGATGTGGATCGTAGAGAGGAGAAAACTACCCATAATTTTCCCACCTTAACAGAAGTGGAGTCTTGGTATTCTGATATTCTTCCTGTTTTTCCCCCCATTTCTAGGTATGTCATATATTTTTTATAGACAATGAAAGGTTGGAGTTCTCTCTTGTCTTTTTTTCTCTCCCCATTTATTATTATATATATTGAGCACATTTCAGCCAATTGTTTCCCCTCCTATGTTAGGCCATTTTGGATATTTTCAGGAATTTTTTTTTCATGGTCTCTAATATTTTAAATATGTATGAATAGTTCATTTTGCTGGAAAGAAAAAATAATAAACTCTAATGCATCAGTAATTTCTCCCCCCACTATTTTGTTGCTCTCCCCCTGCATGAAGTAATCAAGAGAAACTTTCTTAAATTATGGACTATACCATGTATCTCATGCTCCAGGGGCCTAACAATCTCATCGGGTCTATGGTAAATTAACTTTATTAATAAGAAACAATTTGTGGAAAATTGAAAAGAAGATGTTTAATCAATTTTTTGCACTACTTTTGTCAGGAATGAATAAATACCTGACTTCAGAAGATCAGAAAGAATTTCACCCAAATGTAAAAAAAAAGACATCTTCAGATCAATTGTCTTAACAGAAAGGCAGACTCAGGATTAATGATGAGAAAGAAAAAAGATAGTGTAGATATATTTAAACCTCCCTTTTTGTTCCCTGACAATGTCTTTTATCTTTTTTCTGGTCCATTAAAACCAGATCTAAGATCTGCCTTGATTTAATGCCATCTGGGTTGGTAGAAAGAACTTGGACTGCAGGGAAGAAATAACTCTATGAATTAAATATATCTATGCTTCAATTTCTTTGTTTCCACATTTGTTAAATCTATAGTCTGTCTCTGGAACCATAGACATTACTGGGAGGCAGCACAGAATTGCAGACAGACTTGCAGCTTAGGGTCAGACATATCTGAATTTGAATTTCAGCTATTCCCCTTTCTAATTATAAACTGGAATAAATCCCTTAATCCTTAGTTTCCCACTCCACAAAACAATAATAATAAAATCTGCTTTAAAGGTATGCTGTGGACATTGAATGAAATATGTGCCCTCTTCACAGAGGCCTTCTACAAAAGTATGCCAGTAATATTATTATCTTGGAGGACAGAAATTATAGTGTTCTTAAAAAAATAAGTTTTGGGGTTTGCGTTTTGGAAAGTTCTTTTCATTACTGGCATAGCATCAGGTTTCTATCTTTTCTGATTTTCTTATAGGAAACCTTTGGTAATTTAAATATTACACAATACAATATTAATGTTTCTTGATGGTATCTTCTATGTGATGCAAGTGTTAAAAACGATCGACACAAGCAGATTCTCTCCTCTTGGTTTGGACCCGTGGAGACCTATCTTCAAAATGAATGTTTGAACAAGCTGGCTCTCTCTGGCTGAAGCACGGACTCGTGACCTCCTCCCATGCTCGTTTGCACTTCCCACATCTACCCTCCTTTGGAGGGTAATTTGCCAACCTCTGTATTAGTCTGTATGCTCTGGAGAAGTGGTTGCACAGCTCATTCAAACATCTGTTCACCTGATCAAACAGTGAAATTATCCATCAGCTACTGTTTGTTGAGGGTTTACCATATGTTAGGCACTGTCCTCAGATTCATCATATCCATCCCTCACTGGCTGTGTGGTCCTAAGCAGTCATTTAGGTTCTCAGAGCCTTGGTTTCTTCATAGGGTCACTGTAGGAATGACTGAGTTAACACGTGGGAGACACCTGACAGGTACATTTCCTTTCTCACTTTCCTCTGCATCACTCTGCATGAGGGGGAGTAAAAAAGTTTCACTGCAGAACAGCTCTGGAAAATCCAAAGACCTTAAACGAAGTAGAAAGATTGAGACTTGAACAGAAAAGCCTGCTATAGCTGTTCTTTTGTGTTTATTTTATTAGAGGGTAGACCCAACTTGAAAACTCAGCTTCTTCCACTTCTTATTTCAATGGAACACACATTTTGGAGACAAGAAGACCAGGAGTAGTTTAGCCAGGAGTCGCTCTGTGTGACATTCTACTGGTTTCTGGGGACAAGGAAGTATGAGATCATGTGATTTCTCAGTGTCCCAAAGTCCCAAGCTGGGCAAATTCCTATTTCCAATAAATACTTCTTGCAAGACTACTTTCCCATCTGTGTTCATATCAACAATGACAGAAACAGCAAATTACCTAGAAGTTTCTCTAGATTCCTATCTTTCTCTTCCATCTCACTCTCCACAGCTGATCCAGCAATTGCTGGCTTTCCTCCCAAACATAACTTGAGCCTATTGATTTCCTTATCTCCATTTCTTTTTTAAAAAAATTAATTTATTGATTGATTTTTAGAGAGGGAGAGAGAGAACCATTGATTTGTCATTCCACTTATTTATGCATTCATTGGTTGATCCTTGTATGTGGCCTGACTGGGGATCGAACCCTCACCTTGGCATATTGGGGTGACAGTCTAACCAACTGAGCTACCCAGCCAGGGCTCTTTATCTTCATTTCTACCGCCTTGTACATGCCAACTTATTTCACCTCTCTGTGGCTCAGTTTCCCCATCTGTAAAATGGGATGTTTTCATCCTCTCCTTAGATTGTCATAAATGGACTCATATATGTACTTAGAACAGACGCTATATAAGTGTTGATTGCTATTTTTAATGTCATTATCATTGTTTTGTTGTTGTTGCTGTGTTTTCCAACTGTCTTCCTCTTTTCCCGTTTCCCCACTAAACTTATTATTTATACAGAACCCAGAGTGACTGTTACAAAATAGATGTCAGCACGTCACTGCCTGGCTTATAATTCTCCATGGCTTCGCAAAGCATTTAGAGCAAAGTCCACATTCATTCCACAGCTCATAGGCGTCACCACCACCATTCCTGAGCACACTGTTTGGCTACACTCCCTCCTTTGTGGCTCTCCTAAACACGGGGAGGGGGGTCTTCCTTGATGGTTTGCACCAGCTGTGCCATCTCCTGGAATGTTCTGCTCCTAGACCTTCCATGATGGGGCCCCTGAATTCAGGTCTCAACCTTCCTTGACCTTCCTACATTTCCTTTACTCACTCTCAATCCCTAGTTACTACTCTAATACTTAAAAAAACTTTTTTCTTTATAGCACTTACTACTACTCAAATAAGGAGAAGAAATGTGTTTTGTTTGGCCACAATGTCATCGTTCTGTTATCATTTTGCTTGGATGCCTCTGGGAAGGCATTTATTCCCTGCTCCGTAGCATCTGCTCTCCCCAGCCGTCTCACTTGGGTCCTGGGCAGTCACAGGATCTGCAGCCCTAGGAGGATATGTGTCTCCCACTAGGCATGGGGTACACACATGAAAACACAAATACAAATGCATGTTCCAAAGTATTAGGTTGAAAGGCCATCCAGGAGATTCGTAATAGGCTTACATTATCTTTTAAAGACTGTCATCAAAACAAAAACACAAAATTAAAAAGTTCAGGAAAGAAAATGGTGAACCAAGATCCACCCACAGACCTGCATCTGAGAACACTACACTGTGTGAATCTTCTCTGCTCCAGAAGTAAACAGCCTTGCCCCCCCTTAATGTCTAGTCTGAGATTCCTGAGTCAGGACTACTTTCGGCTACTTCCTAATGGGAGAAAAGCCATATTTTTAGCTATGAATAAAATACTAGCCAACGCTGCTAAGTACTGATGGAGATCCAGTGCCAACAGCTTCCCTGGGACCAACCTGCTTTGCTCACACAAACAGGGCTGCTCTTCAAGAGGGATGCCAGCCAGCTCTGTTCACATGGAAAAGTGATGGCAAAGAGTCATCTCCAAAGAGTCATGTCACTGTTGGGAGCTGATGAGATATTAATATTCCAGAGACAACAAGAGGTGGAGAGGACAAGGGCTGAAGAAGCAGACTCATGGAGCAGCTTCTCTGTTCGCCCTGCTTTATACAGTTTATCTCGGTTAGTTTTCGCGGCCAGCAGTGAAGCAAGTATTACTGTGCCCACTTTATCGATGTGGATGCTAAAGCTCTGAGCTACCAGCTTACTGGCCTCAGGTACAGAGCAGGGCTTTGAACCTGTGCTGTTCTGACTCCAGCCCTGTACTTGTGACTCAGGCTACGTGACTTCTCATATTGAATAGATAACATGAAGATGCTCAAAAATGAAAGTGGTTACTGCAAATGCACTGGGTTCCTAACCAGATGATTAAAAGTATATACATAGTATCCACTGAAATACAGCTAAAACACAAAGACTCTTGTTTTGTGAGTAAGGGTTGGAAAAAATGAGTTTTAGTTCAAGAAGAGTGCAGTCTTAGCAGTTTTAAGAACTGTGGTGTAAAGAAGGGTCAAAGACAATGTCTACCATACCAATGGGTAGATCTTGGCGGGATAGTTGAGTCTGGGGTAGGAAGGTCATCATTTTTTTCCCCCAGCTCAACTTGAAGGACTTTGAGTAAACAAAGGCATGCGCATGTGTAAGATATTTTTGCCTACTTTGTACACTGCCCTGTTCTCAATGTATGTAAGAGGACTTGGCATAGAGTAAATGCTCAATAAATACGTGTTAAATGAATAAAATCTGTCCCAATGAGGAGGAACACTGAACTCTCCAGATAACGAACCCCCCATCGAAGGATTTTTGAAGTGACTAAGGTTCTGAGCATGAATTCCTGCCTTTGGTGGAAGGTTATATAATAGCTGAGTAAGCCTTATTGAACACTCTGGATTGCTAGGCACTGAACTAAACGCTTCACAATCATGATTTCCTTTAATCCTTACCACAACTGTATGAGTTAAGTGCCACCAATATCCCTTTTTACAGAAGTAGAAACTGAGGTTTACAGAGGTTAAGGCATCTGTCCAAGGTTACATAGATGTTAAGTGGTAAAGCGTGGATTCAAAACCCAGATTTCTGTTCACATTATGCTGTATGGCTTGGCTACATCAGGTAATCGCCAGGTCCCCTCCCGGTATTGAGATCCCTCATACCCTATTTCTAACATAGTATCTGTATGGAAGATTAATGCCATGAACACAGAAATGTGCTTTCCAAACAAGCGCCAGTTTCCACAGAAGTTGTATCTAAGGCTGCTCGGCATCATGGCATTTACTTGTTCAAACTAATTATTTAATTGTAAAGGAGGAACATGACAATAAGTTATTTTGGACTATAGGACTTACCTAGAAACCACTGGACTTTTTTGGCACAACTACTGCCAATGAATTTGGAAAGCTAGGCAATATGGAAGATTTTCCGCCAAACACACTTTATGAATGGTGACTTTTCCTCCCATCCCCAGCAGAGATAGGAAGTCTAAAGGGAACACTATCCATAGAAAGACGGAAATTCATAGGTGTTTCTCACACATTTAAAAGCACTGGAATCATATTTGAAATGAGAAAGTCTGTATTAAGTAGCCAGTTCAATGCATCAAAGGGCTCAACGGTATTTGGTTGAGTGACTTAATGAACTGACACTTCCATGGCAAAATCCTCAGAGGGTCCTTTGTCCTGTTACCAGTTCCTAACATGATGCCAGCTGCCCTCAGCGTTCTGTAGCCTCTTACTCAGTTTATTACTATGGAAGCTGATGTTTCAATTTACTGAACCCAACTGTACAATAAATAAAAGTCCCTCAGAGGACCATCTTTGCAAGTTAACGACAGCATGGTTGTTAAATGCGGTTTATTTAATCTCTCATCTACAACATGAGTTGCAGTTTGTTGCTTATAAATCTGCTCTTGCTGCAGCCCTTTGGAGAAACACTGACACCTGGCCTGTGCTTACTGCCTGCTCTTGGGCAGGCTCAGCGGCCTCGTTGGCAGGCTACCCTTCTGCACAATTAAGAAACAAGTACTCACCTCTCTGGAGGCAGACAGCCCTCTTCCACAGCTGCTGCAAGAGCAAAAGGGAGAATGAAAGAGATATTGGTGGCAGCCTGATTAAAGCAAATTATGTTTGTGCAATGACCTGACCTGAGACAGAATGTGGATTGGCACCTAACCTGTGCCCCAAGCCTCCCCTTCCCCTGGCATCCAGGGGATCATCCGTCCTGCATTACAGCCCTCGCCCACACTTCATGGAGCTTAATTACGAGTACAGTCTCTTGTATGAGACTTTGGCCTCTTGGAGTACTAGGATGTCTGCTGGGTTTCTCTCTTAATCTCATGTCTATCACAGGGCCTGGCAGACTGTAGCTGCTCAATGCATGCTTGAAATAGTGATAACATTTCACTTACTGAGCTCTTACTGGCGTGCCTATAACTCTGAGGTCTTTCCATGCCTCATCTCATTCTTTTATCCTCAAAATAATCCTATGGGGTGAGTGTTATTATCACTCCCATTTAGAGGCAAGGACAATGAGGCTCAGTGAGTAACATGCCCAAATTTAACCAGCTAGTGAGCAGGAGAGCTGGGACTTACAGAGTCCGTTTTACTACAAAAGACTTAGTACTTTGTCCTACGTCCTCTGACAACTTTCTTCCCCTTCAGAGAGATGGTTTGAGGCCTAAATTATTTAATGTTTATAAAAATCATACTTAGCCTTCCCTGATATGGAGGTGGCCACATATTTAAAGAATAATTCTAAGAGCTCTGTTCCTCTGTAGAGAATTTTCTTAAGATGACTTACAGCAGTGGTTCTCAAAGTGTGGTCCCCAGACCAGCAGCAGCAGCATCTCCAGAGAACTTGTTAAAAAGGCAAATCCTCACGCCTCCAACCCAGACCAACTGAATCAGAAGCTCTGGGATAGGGGCCCAGCAATGTGCTTTAACAGGTCTCCTAGGTGATTCGGATGCATGCTAAAGTTTGAGAACCACTGAGTTAAAGAAATTTAACCATGAGGTTGCCCAAAGCAGTCAAATGAATAATCGATGAGCTAGAAGTAGCTTGCTTAGTGTCCCATCTGCTGGCACTCGTGGTCACAGTAAAACAATCGTTAGCAAAGAACTCCAGACCACCCCAAGTGTATGCTCACCTCATGTTCCATTAGAGCAGACAGAGCAAAGCTGTTTGAAATGTCAACAGGATGAGACTGCGGTGGGGGTGGGTATGTGGCAGAGTTAGACACATACACACAGAGAAATGGCTTCCAAGGATGCTTCCTGCCCTGGAAAGGACCAGGGGGGGCAGGGGTGGGAGCCCTTGGATGAATTCCTGCAGGCAGATCATGGAGGCCCGAGGGGCCCCCATCATGCTCGCAGGTCAGGTTCGCACCGACTGCCTCCCTTTTTGCTTCCTCTCCCTCCTCTGTTGCACAGGCTGTGTTGACAACACCGGCTCTGCAGGAAACACAAAGGCGCTCTGCCTCCTGCCCCGCTCCTTTTCTTCCTCTTGGACAGATTCCCGGGGATCAAATGCAGTGCTCTCAGGGGAAGCGGGCTGGCTCAGGAGCGATAAGGGGCCAATTCCCGCAGATTTGTCATTTCACGGGCAAGCTGCCACGGCCTCTACGCGAGAATAAGCAGTGATGGATGCCCAGCCCATGCAGAAGCAGGTCAGCATTGTCACCCGGGAACTCATGCGAAGAGGGAGGTGGCTGGGGGATCCGGACACTAGAGGCTGCTGAGACTCCTGCGGGCTGGCTGTGTGTGAGAGTTGGG